TTAAAACTGCTGAAGAGACACCATGTGACCACAGGAACAATATTTTAATATATATATGCTGGTAACTTGCACTTTTATTGAACGGTTTTTTAATAGGTATGTTAATTACCTGCACTTTTTATTTGAACTGTACAATAAAGATGCAGACAATGATTTATCCAGACGCAAAAAACCCAAAAAGTCATTATGTGTTTTCAAATAGGATTGGACATGAGCAGATGTCTGAAACCTCAAAAAATAAATAATAAATATTTTGGAGTGGACCGATAGAACGAAACCAATGGGATGCGTTCAACCCCACTCTGGAGAGCAGCTTCAGCGACAGACTTATACCGTTGCAGTGTGAAGGAGAGGTTCCGCAGGTCTTTCTTCCTGGCTGCTGTCAGACTGTACAATGAGAACTGCTCAGCCTGTACACATGCCACTCATCTCATAATGCACTATAGTCACTTTGTCTGCTGCTATCATAACTACACTTCATTCTGGTCGTATTCTCTGCAGCTAAAGTACAATATTAACTATCTACTGTGTATACTCCACAAGTGACTTATCCTCGTGCAATTATAGCTCCAGGGTTTATGGTCCGTTTGTTATCCATTTATTATCTCTCATCTTAAATAATAGATTTAGTTTGATGCGTATCCTGAGTGCTTTTATTTCTCTCTCTCTATAATGTGCAACAATGACACCAAAATCTCCACTGAGGGACAAATAAAGGTTATCTTATCTTCTCCCATCTTAAGACTGTGCACCAGCCGTCAAAAATGTCAGGTGCGACAAAAAAAGAAACAACTCGTAGACTGACGTGTGGTTGACATGTTTTCAAGGAAACATGGGGCTCGAGATCTTGAAATATTCAGTCCTAAAATCCTAATATAAGCAAATATAGACTTAACCCGTTTGTACCTGTTGTTGTGGTTTTTTGTAGAAATCTTACGAGAAACAAACAAAGAGTCAAGCCCTAAAAGTTCTTAAGAGATAGAGGCTGACTAAAACTAATACTGCTGAAAGTTTTCTGGATTCAGGAGCTTATGTTTCATTTCTTCTACTTTGGCGCCTTGTGCTACCCTCGAGTCAAACTCACCTACCACAATGATTAAAAGAAGAAGAAAAATACCTCAAACTGGTATCTAGTAAGTCTAAAATTCTGAAAGTCTAAATGACCCCGGGCTGGCCGAGTTAGGAAAATTCAGCTTCAGAAAAAAATTATGTAGTGTATTTCTTCTGTAGATATAATAATAATCATAATAATAATAATCTTTATTTGTATAGCACTTTTAAAAACAATGTTTACAAAGCGCTGCACAGTCAGCATGATAAACAATAAAAACAGTCAAAATACAAGGTCAAAATAATTAGATACAGAAACACAAAGCAAACAGAGCAAAACACAAAAGAGACACAACAAAGACAAAGCAGACATTAAAATACAGCATGTGAAGTTTAAAACTAACAGTTAAAAGCTGTTTGATAAAAGTGGGTTTTAAGAAGAGATTTAAAAGAGGATACTGATGGTGCTAGCTTTATCTCCTCGGGCAGGTCGTTCCAAAGCCGAGGAGCCCGGACAGAGAAGGCTCGGTCACCTTTCGTCCGGAGCCTCGACCTTGGAACGGTCAACAGGGACCTGCCCGAGGATCTAAGGCTGCGGGGGGGCTCGTTGGGGGTTAAAAGTTCAGAAATATAGCTTGGTGCCAGACCTAAACGAGCTTTAAAAGTAATCAGTAAAATCTTAAAATCAATTCTAAAACGCACAGGGAGCCAGTGGAGAGACGCTAAAACAGGGGTGACGTGCTCCCTTCTGTTAAAACCAGTGAGAAGTCTGGCTGAATGAATGTTTTTAAGATTTAACAGGGTCAAAAGTAGTGAAAAAACAATATTACTTTTGGAATGTCCCCTCATCATTGGCAAATCCCTGATGTCCTTGACCGTTACCCGGCCGCGGCGCCAGGGATAGACCTGGGTAGGCCAGTGCCTACCAGTTTTTTTCTTGGCCTACTCAAATTTGTTCTTTGCCTCTCAAGTCATAAACCTTTTTTATTTATAAGTCATAATTTAAATATTGTTATTATTATACACAAATTATTGCCTAAATTTTGCGTTGCTTTTAGAAAATGTAACCCCCTGAGCGTCATCACGTTCCTACGCTGCTTCGAAATATAGCTCAGTTTATTGGCTGATCAATTTTGTCCCCGAGAACAACCAGCAATTCCTCATCTTAAAGATTGACAATGCTCTCAAAACATGCACAACAGAGTAGCCTTTTTAATTTTAGTTTTAAGAAAGTTCAGCGTGAACTTCGTGAGGTAGAGGAGCCAGGCTCAGGCCAGGCTCGCCTCGCTCTAATGAGGTAAACTCCAGGCCTGTGTGTGTGGTGTGTGTGCGCGCGTGTGCGTGTGTGTGTGTGCTTGAGTGCGTGTGCCTGCCTGCGTAGTTTGTGAACAAATTAGGCCTACTTGCTAATCTGCAGGCCTACCCATAATTGCAAACCTGGCGCCGCTACTGCCATTACCTCAAATGTAGGAGCTTACTCTATGCTTGTAATAAGTAAGTAAGTTTTATTTATATACTGCATTTCACAGACCAGAGTCAAAGCTTTACAACTGTCTCTCACTCCACACAGAGATGGGAGCAGGGCCAGTACAGGAGGCGCATGCCAGAACTATTGTACATGTTTTTAAGTGGTAAGGGAAACCGGAGCACTCGGAGGAAACCGGAGCACTCGGAGGAAACCGGAGCACTCGGAGGAAACCTACGCAGACACGGGGAGAACATGCAAACTCCACTCAGAAGTGGCGTATTTCACTGGTGTAAACTGTCAGACTGAAAAACTATTCTTGGATGAAACCTGATCTACATTTATGTCCCAAAAAGATGCGCTGAAGACGGTCGGAGTAAATTGGGAATAAAATGACAAATGAGACTAAATCCAATCCAAGTTAGCTACAATCTAGCCTGGTCGTACCACACCATAGCACAAATTACATTTCATACTAAAGTCTGGAGGTGCTCCATTGAGCTCCGTTTACAGATAGAAGGGGTTAACTCCTTTTGCAGATTGAAACGATTGGATCTGAGTTTACTGTGACGTATGTAATGTGCCCGAGTCTGTTGTTAGCATTTAGCCTTGCCATCTCCTTTGACGCTAACTGAACCCGTGGGGAGTAGCGCCACAATTTTTTCTAGCGATTACATTTGCTAAACATTCCTCTTCAATTTCTTGATAGAACCAGACCGGATTACTTTACTATCGCATTTTTTGCCATTGCCAAACTACAACCTTCCCGTTCGACGCAAACTCTTGACATCACTCACAACTAACTACAGCACCTGCCTTCCGCGCTCTCTGAATGGTCGGTCGAAATTCAACCGATTGTAATTGCTAACACAGGGACCAGACCCGGACGTTACATGCAGTGAAATGATGATTGAGCGGAGTGTACGGATGGATAAGGCCAGGCTAGCTACAACCCACTCCCATTCTTTTAAAAACACCAATAACAACTGTCGCTTTCTGCTCCGAGTTTAGACCCTGAGTGTTTTGGATAATTACACCAATCGATGCAAATTTAGCCCAAAAGCCGAGATGTGATTTTAAAGCTTTTACCCGACAGGTGAACTGGGACTGGGCCAACGGGAAACAGTTAAAAACAAGTGGCCACGATGAATTATAATGAGAAAGTATAGCCGAAAATGTAGATTAGGTCAAGCTTTTGATTTTAGCTAAAGCATGGAAGCTTTAGCTAAAATCAACACAATGTCAACAAATAGTTTTCACTCTTTTAAGTTTAGCTGTAAAGTCAAGAACCAGAATATATGAGGACTACAAAGCTATGACTGTGATTAAAGCCTATATTAGCTTTAGCCACGTTAGCTGCTGATTCCACATTCATATTAGTTTGTTTATTTGGTTGGAACTGTGTGTATTAATGAACAGCTGTGTGGTAAACAAACCAGATTGCAGCCATCTGGAGTTGTACAAACACACACTTATTCCTCCCAAACTATTGTACGTGTTTTTTTAGAGGTGGGGGGAAACCGGAGCACCTGACTGCGCAAACCACTGCGCCAGATTTCATATAAAAGTTTCCCCCAGGCCCCATCTGTCCACATTCTCAGTTATCAAACTTTATTTATTTATTTTATTTATTACTTAAATAATTGTTTAACAACTATTTTTTATATAGGGGCGACAGTAGCTCAGTTGGCAGAGCACTGGTCTTTGGACCGAATTTTCGTGGGTTCACCTGCTCCCACTGTGTCGTTGTGCCCAGGGACACAACGACACATTTCCTGAAGCCCCCGCTGAAAGACCATCTCGTCAATGACAGAGAAGCCATCTTCCCGTGGACCCACCACTTGCAGGAGGAACAGCGAGGGACTGTTGCATTGAGACTTGGGTTGTAACTCTCATTGACCACCCTCCTGACCCAGAAATTGATTAATAAAACGAGTAGAAAATAACATGACGTTTTTTATGTATACTTTATCCATTTATTTTTAGTGAAGCAGGAAAGAGATTGAGAACCTATACTGAATATACATGTGGAATGTATTGCAGAGCCATCTGCATGTGAAAGCCAGATCCCATCAATCCTCTGAAGCTAAGCAGGTCAGGGCCTGGTTAGTACTGTGATGGGAGACCTCTGGGAACAGCAGATGTCACAGTGGGGCAGCTACGGCTTAATGTGCAAAACTGTTGTTGGTGGTGGTCGGAGGGGCCGATGGCACATACTGGTTGCCTCGCTTCTGTCAGTGTGCCCCTGGGCAGCTGTAGCTAGAGTAGTACAGCAGTACAGTAGGTACCAATGCATTATTATTATTATTTGTATTATTATTATTGTTCAGAGTATTTAATTTTTCTGTGTACCAATCTGACTCATATAATTTTAAATACTACTATTATAAATATATCCAATCCATCAAAGCAATCACTTGAGAAAACATTGTATTAGATCCAGAAACTGATCCTGGAAACCTTTGTAAAATATGTGATGTCGCACCTCGATCCGTGTGAAACTTCTGGCACGTCTTCACCGCGACAAATAGATTCTTCTTTGGCACAGCGGCTCCCTGTAACACGCAAAGACAAATCAAATGTTTAATGGAATTGCATCAGGTTCTACAAAACAAATGACGAAATCAACAATCTTGGGCCGCAACCCCCAATATCATATTAACACACCGTTTGAGCCACGGCCAATTTATGTGCGAAAATAGACAAGAAGAAAGTTTTTATAGCCTTGTTAACGTCTCTGACTCCAGACTTCCCATAAGAGAGTCTGTCTGAGAGCAAAGTGAGCAATGAGCGTCAATTTAAGACCAAAAAGTAGCTTAGGCCAATGTGTTTTCATATCCTTCCTACTATGATGAAGAAATGGACAGTTGGGGGAATATATTGTGAGTTATGAGACCTCAAATAATTCATTATTTGGACAGAATGGGAGCCACTAGACAAATTATTTAGTCATTTCCAAACATCAATTTAATATAAAATGACGTTTAAATGGTTTCATTGAGTCTGGAATTTTTTTCTCTACTCCCGCAATGCCTCAACATTGGGATTACATTATTTCTTAAAACTTGCGTGTTACATTAAGTTCACAAACAAAACATTATGTAGATTACTGACTTTTTCTCAAAAATGTTGGCTGAAATTCTGACCCATTCTTCCTTACATACCAAGTGTAACAATAAGATTTTTTGGTAACCATCCATCCATTTTCTGCCCCTTAATCCATTTCTGGGTCAGGGGGGTGGCAGTCAAAGCTGCACCCAGTACACATAGCACTAGTCCACAGGAGTTGAAACCTGTTATCATTTAATGTATTTGCCTGCAGTAGATATAAACAAAAAATCAGGTTTTCCCAAATTGAGCTAAGCCATAGAGGTCCTTCAAAAAGAGTCCCAGAGATAAAGTTGTTTTTACTTCTTTCCTTGCCTAAAACACCAAAATTAGACCTCTTTCCTTATTATGCTAAATATAGAGATCGTATACTGCTTCTTTTTATGCATAGAGTTATTATTCATTGATCTTGTGTTGTGTGCTCCTACTGGCTGTAAAATGTGATGGAACACTGAAATTTCCCCCCTGTGAGACGAACAAAGGATCTCTTAATTTCCCTGCATAAAGTCAGAGGCAGAATAACAGTGTGTCAATGGAAACAGGTAGAATTCTTTCAACTAGACTCTATAAAACCATCGCTGTAAATCCTTAGAATGACATTTTGATGACTCCGACAAGAAGCAGAAGGACGATAATCACAGTGTCGTTCTCTGATCCAGTCCACAAAGTCGCTCTGTGCAAGAAACACGTCCAAAACCAGGTCTTGAGAGATTTACAATTATCCCAAGTGATATTACAGCGGGGAAACAAAAGCTCTGAAGAAATTAAACTGTGCTGCATTAAGTCTGATCAAAAAACACGGTTGTCTCTAAGATAACACTTTGTTGATCTCACAATGAAATAATGTACACTTACATAAAGCCTCTAGTTTAGTTTCAGTTTAGTTTATTAAAAAGGGGACAATGCAATTTAATAAAGCACACGATAAAACATGAGTTTTAAAAAAAGCCCGAATTAGCCAAGGCTATTTTTCACCGTAATCCCCAGGCTGTGATGTCGACAAGCCATTAAAATACATTAAATCACATTAACATAACAAAAATATAAGACAGAGACAACCTCAATCGAGACTAACATTATAGTGTTGACACATTAGACAACATTCATTCAACGGTTTCTGCGTCAAAAAATGTCAAAGAAATACACTGAAAGAGCAGCTTATTTCATCATTTTTTGAACCAGAATGAAACCAGTAGAATTGTAAAATGGCAAAAGAGAAGTCCATTGAGCAGGGGACATTTTCACACATGGATTGTCCGACATGGAGCTAGGACGATCTGACGGCGTTCCTTCATTCTCTGTGATAATTCGAGCCAAGTTATAATGTGTAAATCTAATGTGTTAACAAGTTAATAAACTGACATTGAGACCAGAGAGAGAGAGACCAGAGAGAGACCAGAGAGAGGGACCAGAGAGAAGGACCAGAGAGAGAGACCTGAGAGAGGGACCAGAGAGAGGGACCAGAGAGAGAGACCAGAGAGAGAGACCACAGACCGGGACCAGAGAGAGAGACCAGAGAGAGAGTGTCCAGAGAGAAAGACCAGAGTGAGGGACCAAAGAGACAGACCGAAAGGAGGGACCAGAGAGACCAGAGAGAGGGACCTGAGAGAGACCAGGGAGGGAGACCAGAGAGAGAGCCCAGAGTGAGAGTCCAGAGAGAGGGACCCTAGAGAGACACCAGAGCGAAGCCAGAGTGAGAGACCCGAGAGAAAGACCAGAGAGAGAGACCAGAAAGAAAGACCAGAGAGAAGCTAGAGAGAGAGGCCAGACGGAGAGATCAGGGAAAGAGACCAGAGAGAGAAACCAGAGAAATCCGTGTATCATTCGTTCTTTTGCTTTTCTAAATAAAACCAACATTGAAAAAACGAATAACGAGGGATGTTTTTGATTCTCAATATTTGAATTTAATGCAATATTGAAATATCGGTTTGTTTTTGGTTTTCTGTGGATCCAATTAAAACGAAAATGCAGTAAACCAATAATGATCGTCTAAATTACTGTTTGCGAATTCCATTTGAAACACAAGAATCCCCCGGAAGTGATTCGCAAGGGCGCACCCCGCAGGTAAACAGCGGAGTAGCGGTGGAGATGAACTAAATGATGGGTGCGTTGGAAGACTTTGCAGATACAGCGATAGAATGTTTCTAAAACATTCAAACTCATGCAGAAATATCAACCACGTTACACCGACTAGGTTTGTCCAAATGTCAAGTCATCAGCTGAGTCATGTCCCTTCTTTTTGATACAGTGGTTAATCACGAAAGCAAACTTTTTGAAGTGGCTCACAGAAAGGTATTCTGAGTAAATGTATTCATTAAACATGGATCATGTTCCTGCCCAATATATACATACATTTTTTTTTTTTTTTACATATCAGCCGCCTTAAAACTATTGCTGCTCTATCTATTTTTCCTGGAATAATTTTATTGCAACATTCAAGAGGGATTCTGTCTCCCGAGGCTCAGGAATCACAGCTTGTTGTGTTTTGGCAAATTATGAAGGCCAAAGACTAAATTCATCATGTATGTAAATCTTCTGTGTGTCTGTTCCAGTGTAAATATTTTTGATTAGTTTGTTCCCAAATTAAAACACACTTGGACACAATTCTGCACATTTTTTTTCTAAATTGTGTTGAATCGCAATGGAAAACCCGTTAAAACAAATACTAAACTATTAGTGGATTATGTATCAATAGATTTATGAATTAGGAAATGACATTAACTAAACAAGACTGTAAAATGACAAGTTGTGTATTTGAATGTACCTTTACAGAACAACTTACACCTCAGACTTCCTTTCAGCAGCAACATGGGTCCAATTTTATGTAGACTTTACTAAGGACTTACATGCAAGCACAAGATCCAGAGCTAAGAATGAAAGAACAATTAAAAAAAAAAAAGCTGTGTTAAAAAGACACATAATCACATATTTACAGCAAGTCACACATACAAAGAAGCCAGTGACTCCAAAGTTTAGAAGTGAACCTGACTGAGCTAATGTAAGGGCAAACCAGGGACTGTACAATACTATTAGGTACCATCATGACTCTACACATGACCGATAGTAGCAGTGACGTAGGAAAGGAGCGCACCCTGCACTCAGCAAACATCTGACTGGACGACTGTGTCTGGGATCTTCAGCAGCATCCTCACTGAGTCATAGGAAACTGTTCACCTCTGCAGACTGACTGCTTGTAGCTCCGCCACAGTTGGTTTGTGAATAAAGGAGCCCAAAAAGACTGGAACAAGGAGGTTTTTACATTCACAGAACACATGTTAGACTTCCTAACCAGCATGTTAGATTGACCATACAGTTTACATCTACAGTTTACATCTACAGTATCTGAGGTCACTGCGTGTGTAATGCCCATTAAGACCAGGACAACTGGATTTAAGAACAGTTTTTACACTTTCAAATGTGACAGAACATAATGTATACTGATGAGTACGTGCTTTTTCATGCAATGATTTTAATTTTGTAACATAAATTTACAATGATAAACACAAGTTGAAAGTTTAAAATGTAAAGGAACAAAAAGGAGATTTGTAGATCAGTTATTAATTTTATTGCATTGACATAAACACATCCATCTTTGCAGATCACTGGTACAGGCCAGGACCAGCTGGAGAGCTTTGCAGATCACTGGTACAGGCCAAGGCTGGGAGTAGTGTGAAGTCTGAAACCTTTACCTGCTGCACACCCAGTGAGATCTAAAACAGAAAAGTGGGTTTAGAACAGACATAATTATTACTTGTTATAACTTAACTATCTTATAAAGTCAGCAGAAGAGAAATAGTAACCACCAAACAGAAAGATGCTATGCTAGTCTTCTATCAGGACAGGAACTCAAGCTGAACATGAGCCCAGCGGCTTTGACTGTTTCAGACCTGCAGTCTTTCTGACTGTTTCATACCTGCAGTCTTTCTGACTGTTTCAAACCTGCAGTCTTTCTGACTGTTTCAAAGCTGCAGTCTTTCTGACTGTTTCAGACCTGCAGTCTTTCTGACTGTTTCATACCTGCAGTCTTTCTGACTGTTTCAAACCTGCAGTCTTTCTGACTGTTTCAAAGCTGCAGTCTTTCTGACTGTTTCATACCTGCAGTCGTTCTGACTGTTTCAAACCTGCAGTCTTTCTGACTGTTTCAAAGCTGCAGTCTTTCTGACTGTTTCATACCTGCAGTCTTTCTGACGGTTTCAAAGCTGCAGTCTTTCTGACTGTTTCAAACTGGCAGTCTGAGGGCTCCTCGTTTCTCTTCATAAGCCTGAAGCATCTAGCTCTAACTACTGTCCCTCGACAATAATTGAGAATGAAGCAGAAACAAAGCACAATTGAATGGTTAAGGTACATCTAGCATCATCTTTTATTTACTAAAATTTAGCATGATTACTTTCACCAATACACAAACATATCATGTTCTTATATAATATGAAAGTCTATAACATACATTTATAATAATAAAGCACCCAAATTAGGTGCATTTGTTACATGTGTAAGTGTTTCATGTATGTGCTTAAGCTAAATGTGTCGTAGCTAATGCTAACTTAGCTGTTAGCGCTAGTTGCTAAGTTATGTCTTACCTTGACACTTGTGTATATATTTTTCATCGAAGAACCCCTTCTCTCGTGAATCTGAGAATTCTCATCTGCGATGGTCTCTGCAGCAGCGAACGAAAAAGCTGGTAATCTGACTGATGTTGAGGAGTTTTAAGAGACATTTCTCCTACAACCAGCGCTAACAAGGTGCGAACCAAGTACCTGGAGGCGACACTTCCTGTTCTCGTGACAAACGCGCACTTTCGAATCACTTCCGGGGGACGTTTGTGTTTCAAAGGAAAATCGCAAAATGTAATTTAGACGGTCATTATTGGTTTACTGCATTTTCGTTTTAATTGGATCCACAGAAAACAAAACAAAACAATATTTCAATTTAGCATTAAATTCAAATATTCAGAATCAAAAACATCCCTCGTTTTTCGTTTTTTCAATGTTGGTTTTATTTAGAAAATCAAAAGAACGAATGATACACGGATTCAGAGAGAGGCCCGAGAAAGAGACCAGAGCAAAAAACAGTCAAACAAAGGCTAGGGTAGACTTATTTTCAGGGTTACTTTGGACTAGGAAAGCAAAGAGCCACATAATATTACACAGAGGGGAATAACGGCTTGAATATATAAATATAATATATAAATGCAGGCCCGTCCCAAGGGGGGTGCGAGGCCCTGTGCGAACTCGAAACGCGAGGCCCTGCCCTGACACTTTTTTCCCAGATCTGAGGAAAGTTTTTCCTGTTATAATCTTTGACATGAATTCAGCACCACCTCGCGCGGTGCTTGACGAGATCAGCACGCGCGTAACCGAGTGTCTTCGCTCCTATGCAGCGTTTGGCGCGCGCACGTACACACGCACACACACTCTACGTGCAATATTGGTCGCGGTCTTTTTAGCTGACATGTCTCTTTCGTCCTGTGGCAAAATGGTAGAGCAACTCAAAAGATTGAACCAAAAGGAGTCTTTTTCTTCTAATAGTTAGATTTGGGCAAAATGCGCCAAAATGGCTATGAGGCGGAGTCAATATTATTATTTTCTCATCAAATAACGTTTTTGCCATGCCTCCACACACTCTGACAACATACACTCCTCCTCCTCCACACTGACAACAACAAAATACTCTTCACCTCCTCCTCCACACACTCTGACCACAACAAAAACACTCCAGCTAGCTAAAGCTAGACATACAGTGTGTTTGCTAATGCTTTTAAAAATATGTTTTTGATGTGGATATTCGGACTAAACATTGGCAATAGCAGCGCTCACACACCTGTCACACCGCTGATCCTCCTCCTCCTCCTCTGCTCACACAAAGGGGTCTGCTCCTCTGCTCACACCTGTATCACTGCTCCTCCTCCGCGAGTATCCATCTCTCCTACACTGCGATCATTCCCGTTACTTTCTTTGTATCTCACTCAGACACTGCTAAAGTTATCTGACAGTTTTTTCGGAGGACCCGTTGCATACATAGCTGCCCGCGCGCCTGCCTGTTTACAAATCGCTTTTGGTGAAAATTTGACTTTACTTGTAAAAATGTTCTTTTGATCAAACGAAATCAAAGAGGTCCAGAGAAAGGGGTTTAGGGTTCCAAATTTGGAGTGCAGTCTGCCCTTTGGGGACCCTTGAACTAGTGTATTTATAAAATAAAATAAAAGGAAGGAAGATTGCGAGGCCCCTGTGTGGTGCGAGGCCCTGTGCGACGGCACAGGTCGCACAGCCCTTAGGACGGGCCTGTATAAATGTTCTGTACCAGTCCACCGTCAGCAGTTGGTGACAAACACACTGTAGCCTATAGAGAGGACGTTAAGTTTAACACTGTTTTATCTTTCCTTTTAATGGACTTAACTGTTGGTGTAATACTTACCTGATTAAATTCTGCGAACTAAAATGTAAATTATGTGCCTGCATCGTGAGAGTGCAGTAAAATAAAGTGCATGATTCATTATCCACTGAGGAGGCGGGTAAGCGTTACCGAAGACTTTTATTCCTATGATGTTAATACAAGACCACTTATATATGGAAACACAAAAATATACAATTGTTTTGGCAACAACAAATAACATTATATATTCAGCTGCTTCTGCTGTAGACAATAGAGCACAGGTGGTGGGCCAGTGTCTTTCTCCATCTCAACCCAGAGCAACTAAAAATTCACTTTTAAACAGAGAGAGACAAGAGAAAGAGACTAGAGAGAGAGAGACCAAAGAGAGACTTGAGAGAGAGACCAAAGAGAGACCAGAGAGAGAGAGACCAAAGAGAGACCGGAGAGAGAGACCAAAGAGAGACCTGAGAGAGAGACCAAAGAGAGACCAGAGAGAGACCAGAGAGAGAGACCAAAGAGAGACCAGAGAGAGAGACCAGAGAGAGAGAGACCAAAGAGAGACCAAAGCGAGACCAGAGAGAGAGACTAGAGAGAGCAGAGAGAGAGAGAGAGCACAGAGTGACCAAAGATAGGGACCAAAGATAGGCACCAGAGTGAGAGAGACCAGAGGTAGAGACCAGAGAGAGGGACCAGAGTGAGAGATCAGAGAAAGAAACCATAGAGAGACTAGAGAGAGAAAGAGTGAGAAACCACAGACAGACCAGAGACCTGCTGTAGAATATAGAGCACAGGGGGTGGGGCAGTATCTTCCTCCAACTTAACTCAGTGCAGCTAAAAATACTCTTTAAACTATCAAAACAATTAAATATTCCCTGTTGTGTGTTTTTGGCACTGTGAATATTTGCCTTCATAAAACCACAAATATCTCCTGATCCACCAGCCCTCAGCACAAACACATCCTGGATAACCAAGGGCAAACAAGAGAAGAAGAAACATTGATAAAGTACAAATTCATGAGAATAGAGATTGCTTTTCTCGTTGAGCACAGACACCCACCAAGAGACACGCAGTAACATCCTGGATCAATTCAATTTAATGTATTTTCGTATCTTCTGTTGTATAAAAGTAGCTCTCTGTCTCTCTTTTGTCATGTTCCCATTGTTTGTCCAAGACATATCTCTCTTTTATGAGACAATAAAGACTAATCTTATCTAAATTAATCAAGGAAATGCAAACAAACACAAAGGAGCCCTTGGTCCAGAGCATAACAGAATGACTGTGATGGTCTTTTATTTTCATAGATTATATTGTACCATGTGGGTTGGCCAAATTTGAATGCAAAAGCCAGTTTCCGTCACACCTCCGAAGCTGTGCAGGTCAGGGCCTGGTTAATACTGTGATGGGAGATCTCCGGGAACACCAGGTGCCACAGTGGGGTGGCTGCAGCTGTAAAGTGCTAAACTGAATATGTCCTTAGGCAAAACACTTCACCTGCATTGCCTAGAATGAACCTAGTGTGTGTGTAAACGGTTGGTGATGTTCTAATCTACCCATGGCACTTACTACTTGCCTCACTCCTGTCAGTGTGCCCCAGGGCAGCTGTAGCGCCTGTAGTAGTTTTTCACCACTGCGTTTGGACTGTGACGCATCTTTGAGTGTCCAGAAAGCGCTATACAAAACCAATACATTACTTATTTGGTATTTTTTTTGTATCTCAAAATAGTTTTATCCTTCTGCGGCTGCTACCTCCCCTCATTTTTTGCAAGGACATCTTTATAATTGCAATTTCTTTTCTTTCTCTTTGGTTCAAAACACACATACAAAGCTTCTCAATGCACCACATCTGCTGCTGTTACTTGATAATAAAAAACAAATCATCGCAGCTAATAGCAACACAAGTTTCAAACCAGTTCAATGACGGCGTTAAAAACAAGATTTGACTCTTCTCTTGAAACACATAAATCTTCCCAGAGCTTCCTTGGTGCTTGTTCGATGAGTCAGCCCCACTCTCCCCCAAATGAGTGCTTAAAGTGTCAGCTAGCACAATGCCTAGTGTCAAAATGCTTAATGTCTCTTCACCAAGTTGAGTATAACAAGCCAAGGCAGCTGCAAATGCGGTTGATGCACGGCAGAACCGGATGGGTTGATAGCTCGCTCTTAATTATGACACAATAAAACACAAACCATTACAGAAATCAGTCAAGCCTTTAAAACGCAACATCAAGTCATTTCGCTCTGGCACATTTCTTGCTTGTTTACAGACTCCTCACCGTCCCCTGCCCTTCATGCTTCTGTCACTTTATCCAATCAAATCCAGTTAATCCAATTAAAGTCAAACTATGGCTCAAAAGGACCAAAACTTGTGAGCATAATGCAAGACTGTAATCATTTATTGTATTCTTTTTTTTTTTTTTTTTTTTTTTTGTATTTTTTATTGTATTCTTGTTTATTATTTAGTATAACTTATTACTTATTTTTTTTAATATAATGATGTATGTATAATGTAAATGTGATGTATTTCTAGGTTTTAGGGACCAGGTCTGCAAACTAGCTGTTAGCTATACGGCCTGTGAACACAGCATCGGTTCCTGTAACAATGCTTCTTGTTCTGTCCCTATCAAATAAACAAATAATAATAATAATAGTTTATTTATAAAGTACTAATAAAAACAACAAGGTTGACGTCAAAGTACATAAAAAGACATACAAAAATAATTCAAGTCTGCTCTAGTCCGCTCTAGTCTCTTCTAGTCTCTTCTAGTCTCTTCTAGTCTCTTCTAGTCTCTTCAAGTCTCTTCAAGTCTCTTCAAGTCTGCTCTAGTCTCCTTCTAGTCTCCTTCTAGTCTCCTTCTAGTCTTTTCTAGTCTCTTCTAGTCTCTTCTAGTCTCCTTTTGTCTCTTCTAGTCCCCTCCAGTCCCCTCCAGTCTCCTCCAGTCTCCTCCAGTCTCCTCCAGTCTCCTCCAGTCTCCTCCAGTCTCCTCCAGTCTCCTCCAGTCTCCTCCAGTCTCCTCCAGTCTCCTCCAGTCTCTTCTAGTCTCTTCCAGTGATGGGAATAACGGCGTTACTAGTAACGGCGTTACTAACGCCGTTACTTTTTTCAGTAACGAGTAATCTAACTAATTACTTTGACAGTAACTATAACGCCGTTATCATTTCCGACATCCCGTTACTGCGCGTTACTCAAGACGCACAATGAACGTGTTGTCATGAGAGAAGGGAGGATGAGAAAACCTCTCAGCAATTATTGGCTGATGTAAATCATATTTCCTTTACAATCTACATGTCTACAGTTGAGAGGATGGCTCATAAATTGTGTTTTTGAAACAAATATGGGTCTTAATCGCGCTCAACCACGGCTTGTATCACCGTGAGGTCAGCCACAGAGGAGCGCATGTGAGCGCAGAAGTCGGCTGCATACAATTCCATCGATAAGCTCCTTGCTCTTCCTGGTTTATCTGCTAAGGACAGCAACAGGTTTGGCTAACATACATATAACACATTTTTACATAATCTAAAATGCACATAGGGTAATTTTTCAATTACTATAGGAATGATAAGAAAGAGAGGTGAAGTGTAAGACGGTTGATTTTGGAAATTGGATGCAGCCGGCTGCAGCAAAACAGAGGAGTTTACGGAGGACACACGCGTTTTGTTTTACTTTTTAAAACTCATTGGACTCATTTCCAAATGGAGGATTACATATCTACGCTCAAACCATTCACTGGATTTAAACAAGGAACTGGTCTGAACCGAAGTGGACTGTGCAGGTCATTTATAAGGTATAGCTATAAGGTAAGACCCATAACTCATAGTTTTGCGTTTTGTATGAACACACAATGCGGGCATAAAACATATTTTGCTGTAGCCAAACAAATTGTCCACTTGATTTATATGATGTATATGTTCATCTGATTGGACTGAAGTCAGTGCTTCACCAGCCTCACCGCTCGTCACCGGTGTTTCCACATTCACAGTGGCGGGCTTTACAGCACAGTGAGAGATGAAGAGTGAACAGGACTTCAGCAGCAAAACAGCCTTTTCTAGATGGAAATATTGGCACTGTTAAAGGTAAAAATGCGCACGTCGGGTGCACATTATGTTCCAGAACAAAACGAAAAAGTAACGCAATAGTTACTTTTACTGGTAACTAGTTACTTTTATAGTGGAGTAACTCCGTTAGTAACTCAGTTACTTTTTGGGAGAAGTAACTAGTAACTATAACTAATTACTTTTTCAAAGTAACGTGCCCAACACTGGTCTCTTCTAGTCTCTTCTAGTCTCCTCTAGTCTCCTCTAGTCTCCTCTAGTCTCCTCTAGTTACAATTAGAAAATACAAACCAAGAAACACACTATTTACAGAAACAAAATCAACAATACAAAATCAATTAAAAAGCCAATGAGAACAAGTGAGTTTTAGGACAAGACAAAAAAAACGGAGTGAATCAGACACATATGGCTAAATGTATAGTGTGTACTTACTGCACTTGTATATAGTGATAAGAAAAATAAATATTATGTAGATTTTTTTACTTATTTTTATGCATGCCTTATTCCATTTTCACTTTTAAAACCTTCCTAGTTTGTGACTAGGTACAAGTTTTAAGTACTTAAAGCTGGTGTAACTAACTTTAACAGTGTGATAAAATCCATCTATATTGGTAGCTCTTATCTAAGCTGGCTTCTATCTCTAAGTTTCAGATGCATGTACGTTTTGTCCACAGTCACATCTATAGATATGCCCGTTTCAGACAAAAAAGGGAAAAAGAGAGCACCTCCCTCACTCAGCCAACCAGCTTTCAGCCCAAAGCATGAAATAGTAACTCACAGGGCTCATTCTTACTAGTGTTTTCCTTTAAAACTAGGACTCCCACTAAAAGCCCATTAAAACCATGGTATTATCAGAAATTCCCCACAAAACTAAGTGCTTTACTAAGTGCTAAAACCAGTTAATTGAAAAACGCTTTTGGTCAGGAAAAACCCCCCTGGTATTTATGAAAAGGAAGCTTCACAAACCCATCTTTAAGGCAATACCAGTACCGAATGGGAGACCAGTATACTCTTATGTATTTTATAGATATTTAGCAGTTAAGAAATTGGACTGACGAATGACGTAGCTGTTGGTTTGTATGTTCCTCATGCCTACTGTTATATAACTGGAGATGCAACCCTGAAATTTCCCCACTTGACATTGAGATTTTAATTAAGATTAAGATTCAAAAAGCTCTTTTAAAGCTATAGTATGCGTGTATTCTTGTACGTACACAGTCTGGGAGGTATGAGGTGAAAGTGGTCACACAGTGGTCCTCGGCTTCTCTGCAAAACTCTGGCACGTGGGTCAGTTTCGGTCCCTTCCCTTCGCTCCAGATAAACAAGGCGATCTGAAAACAGGAAAAGCAAAACTCATAAGTTGTGATCATGTTGTAGAATTCTATTTCTGTAGCAGGGCAGGTGCCAGTGCAACTCTATGGGAGTTGAGGAAAATGTCTAAATGTGTGTCTAGTCTCCCCTCGTTTCCTCCAGTCTCCTCCCAGTCCCCTCCAGTCCCCTCCAGTCTCTTCTATTCTCCTTTCGTCTCTTCTAGTCTCTTCTAGTCCCCCCTAGTCTCCTTTTAGTCTCCTTTTAGTCGCCTTTTAGTCGCCTTTTTAGTCTCCTTTTTAGTCTCCTTTTAGTCTCCTTCTAGTCGCCTTTTAGTCGCCTTTTTAGTCTCCCTTTTAGTCTCCTTTTAGTCTCCTTTTAGTCTCCTTTTAGTCTCCTTTTAGTCTCCTTTTAGTCTCCTTTTAGGCTCCTTTTAGGCTCCTTTTAGGCTCCTTTTAGGCTCCTTTTAGGCTCCTTTTAGGCTCCTTTTAGTCTCCTTTTAGTCTCCTTTTAGTCTCCTTTTAGTCTCCTTTTAGTCTCCTTTTAGTCTCCTTTTAGTCTCCTTCTAGTCTCCTTCTAGTCTCCTTCTAGTCTCCTTCTAGTCTCCTTCTAGTCTCCTTCTAGTCTCCTTCTAGTCTCCTTCTAGTCTCCTTCTAGTCTCCTTTTAGTCTTCTTCTAGTCTCTTCTAGTCTCTTCTAGTCTCTTCTAGTCTCCCTCTAGTCTCCCTCTAGTCTCCCTCTAGTCTCCCTCTAGTCTCCCTCTAGTCTCCCTCTAGTCTCCTTCTAGTCTCCTTCTAGTCTCCTTCTAGTCTCCTTTTAGTCGCCTTTTAGTCTTCTTCTAGTCTCTTCTAGTCTCTTCTAGTCTCCCTCTAGTCTCCCTCTAGTCTCCCTCTAGTCTCCCTCTAGTCTCCCTCTAGTCTCCCTCTAGTCTCCCTCTAGTCTCCCTCTAGTCTCCCTCTAGTCTCCTTCTAGTCTCCTTCTAGTCTCCTTCTAGTCTCCTTTTAGTCGCCTTTTAGTCTCCTTCTAGTCTCCTTCTAGTCTCCTTCTAGTCTCCTTCTAGTCTCCTTCTAGTCTCCTTCTAGTCTCCTTCTAGTCTCCTTCTAGTCTCCTTCTAGTCTCCTTTTAGTCTCCTTTTAGTCTTCTTCTAGTCTTCTTCTAGTCTCTTCTAGTCTCTTCTAGTCTCTTCTAGTCTCTTCTAGTCTCTTCTAGTCTCTTCTAGTCTCCCTCTAGTCTCCCTCTAGTCTCCCTCTAGTCTCCCTCTAGTCTCCCTCTAGTCTCCCTCTAGTCTCCCTCTAGTCTCCTTCTAGTCTCCTTCTAGTCTCCTTCTAGTCTCCTTTTAGTCTCCTTTTAGTCGCCCTTTAGTCTCCTTCTAGTCTCCTTCTAGTCTCCTTCTAGTCTCCTTCTAGTCTCCTTCTAGTCTCCTTCTAGTCTCCTTCTAGTCTCCTTTTAGTCGCCCTTTAGTCTCCTTCTAGTCTCCTTCTAGTCTCCTTCTAGTCTCCTTCTAGTCTCCTTCTAGTCTCCTTCTAGTCTCCTTCTAGTCTCTTCTAGTCTCTTCTAGTCTCTTCTAGTCTCTTCTAGTCTCTTCTAGTCTCCCTCTAGTCTCCCTCTAGTCTCCCTCTAGTCTCCCTCTAGTCTCCCTCTAGTCTCCCTCTAGTCTCCTCTGAATATTGTCACCTCTTCTAGACACGTTTATGAGAAAATAATTTGTACATAGTTTAACAGAAGATGTGCAATTTTTTTGACAGTTACCATAGTTACCTGGAAACCAAAACATTCCTTCCCACAGCCACAATGTTAAACTAAAAGCTCTTTGTTGTGATGTCACAGGAACGCAAGTTTTTCTTTTAGCTTGTATCTTGGTGAGAAGTGATGATACATTTTAAGAAACAGTGAGAACTATTTATGTTGTTTTTGGCAAAAAAACAAAGAGGCTTTATAGATCCCAGAGGAAAATCGGATTTAGCAGCAGAACTTTTATTCCACAGTTCAAAAGGCGGCGACAGTCTCACAGCGGCGCCTCGTTCACTTCAAGTATTTCCCCTGATTGCTCTAACATTTTCAGATGCTCTTTGCTCCCTGCATGATCCCCATTAGTATGATACAAACAAACAGCTCAATCCAGCAAAATACAACGACCTTAACTTCTGTCCTCTCAAACACACAAATCAACCAGATAGGATTAAAAAAGGTGGTCAAGCACTGCTAAAAATTTTAAAATATGAGGTCATAAATTGTGTGGTTTGAGTGGTTTTTATCTTAATTTGAGCACATCAAGTCTTAAAACCAGATTTGAAAATGGGACAAACTTATTTAGTCTAATTTCAATAACTTTATTTATTTTCTCATTCCAGGAGAGTCATTTCTTGTATCATTTTAAAACAAGATAATTTTGTTATTTCTCCCATTGGCAAATCTTGTTTTAAGGCAGGAAAAATGTGCTCAAATTCAGATGTGTTTTCCTAATTTGAGCAGTTTTTAACTTATCTTTCATCACTTTTTGCAGTGAGATTCAAGGACAAAACCAGTCACCTGAGACTGAAATGTACTGACCAAAAAGAACATGTTTTATTTCAATGACACATTAGTCCAGGGTTGTCCAAATGTTTCAGTATGAGGGCCGTTTTATTCACCAGATTTTAAAACTGTTCTGACTGGATTCTGGCTGTTTTGGTTTTTAAAATAAAGCATGACATTTCCGTATTGATTCACATTTGCCAGAACTGAAGTTTACTATTTTATCATTCTTACATGCTACATCTGCCCGTGTCCTTCTGACTTATTCAGTGAGTTTAGAGTCATCCAACCTCTCTTACTGAGGGAGAAACTGGAGAAACATCAGAGTTGATCCTATTTTCCCCAACTGGATCTACAACTATATACCTCACTGTGCGGTCGCTGTATGTTAGGAAAGGGAAAAGCATGTCTGAGACTGTTGTGAGCAATACGGGCGCACCACAGGGTACCGTTCTGGCTCCCTTCCTCTTCTCTGCAATATGCTACGTACAAAAATTATTCAGATGATACCGCTGTTGTGGCTTTTGTGAAGAGATGGGATGAAAAAGAGTACAAGGGGTTGGTCGATTCTAAGACTGGAGCGAGAGAAATGGCCTTACCCTTAATGGGATGAATAAAAGTTATCTTATATAATGTCGTAATGCATAAGATAGGATTTAATATTTGTTCTTAGGTTGTATCTAATTCTTGTCTGGTAATGTGTTTCTTTACCTAAATTAGAATACTCTCAGGGTGTTGTTATCAGCTCATAGTTTATACCAAATCCCATCTCAAACTCAAACAACAAATATTGATCTGGAAGTCCCAGAATGTCCATGTTCGGCTACACCCAGACCTCCTTTACTCTCGCACAGTTTGACCTCAGCAAAGTGAGGAGTTCCGTACCTCGTGTTTCAGGTCGATGGTGAAATCCGATTTGAGGTGTTCGTGATGAATCCTTTCCACCAGTCTGTGGAGAAAAACAAAAATTAGACATTGATTTTGGTCATTCAGCTCTGAGATTATTTACAACCCGCTGTAGACCAGACTCCATCTCGCCTCGGTGGCACTACAGCTGAAAAATAGTGTGTGCTTGTTGAGGAGGAAAACAGGTTATGGTTATACTATTTGTCCCCTTTAAGATGGGACTTTCTATTTCTTTTTGTTTTGTTCAGAACAGAAAGAGTAACGTGTTGGGAACAAACAAGACCACAACATTCTCGTCCTCTTAATAAAAACATGCTATAATAATGACAATAATGATAATAATAACAATTCCTTTTATTTCACTGTTAATTTTTTTTTAAATGTGAACAATTGTTGACTTATTTTTGGGTAACCGGTCAGGGGTGTTTCCAGTGTATCGTTTTTCATCGGTCTAGCTAGTGCAGTACATGTAGTTTAATCTTTAGAAGAAAAATTGTGTTGAGTCCTATGAGCTGGTTTTGTCTCACTGTTTCCACTGCTAAAAGTGATGAAAAATAAGTAAAAATTTGCTGACATTTAGCAAAGTGCATCTTAATTTGAGAACATTTTGACAGACTTAAAACAAGATTACCTCCTATTTTATCATTTTTTTGAAGTGTGAACACCAAAATCAGCTCAGCACCTCTCCCTTTGGTTTCGTGCTTATGTCTGATGTCTTGAGTCATTTCAGGTGCATTGGTGATGAATGAAATACGTCCCGGTGCTTCCCTTTCATCTGCCTGGAGGTCGGCTGCAGCTGCACACTCTGAAGGACCTGTTAGAGAGGAGTCCTTCACCTGTGGAGCAGAGCGGTGCTGAGGGCCCATCCTGCCGCTGGGTCGGGGTAACCGAAGACGGCGGGGTCCTCGGCGAAGGCGTAGTGATGGATGATGGAGGCTTCACTGTCATGGAGACGCCGGCCCAAAAACCACTCCTGAGGAAAGAGGAGATCTGGTTTGTGCTTGTTTTGTTTCATACACAAAGGAACGTTCCTCAGTGTGTGTGTTTAGTCATTTGTCTAGATTCCTACTTCAATTCGCTCAGTGTTTTATTTACTCAGGCTGCAAACTATCAGTGGAATAATCTTTCAGTTTAACAATGAATAATAATAATAATAATGCATAAGTTTTATATAGCGCTATTTTGGACACTCAAAGACGCTTTACATGTCATTATTCATTCACTCCAAACACGGTGGTGATAAACTACTACTGTAGCCCCAGCTGCCCTGGGGCACACTGACAGAAGTGAGGCAACCAGTATGTGCCATCGTCCCCTCCCACCACCAGCCATTCACACACTGAGACACACACAGCAGACTCATTCTAGACAATGTGGGTCTAGAATGTGCCTACAGACACAAGAAATATTTGACACTTTACAGCCGCAGCTGCCCCACTGTGGCACCTGGTGTTCCCAGAAGTCTCCCATCATTTCAGAAAAAAAAAAAAGGATTTTGACGCTCTGCCTGATTAAAACAATAATGCATTAATGATGCATTTATATCCAACTTGAATATCAACAAAACAGAAAAAACCAACTATATACAACATTTTAAATCATAAAAGGAAAAAAGTTTAAAAAGTACTAATGCCGTCCACATCTCACCTCTGAGGCCGGGTATCTCTGGAGCACGGTGAGAAGTTGACCCAGTGACACTTCCGTCTCTTCCTCGATGAACAAAACCCAGGACGCCGAGCCAAACGAGGCGGAGAAACTGCAGGAAACACGAAACAGCAGCAGTCAGTCCTGGTCTCGCCCTCTGCACCAGGAGAGCGGGTCACATGGTCCACTCACAGAGGAAGCGCCGGCAGGATGCTCCACACGCCCTCGTAGTCAGAAAACTCATGCAGGAGAACGACGTGAGGAGCTCCCTGCAAGACACAAGAATTAAACTTGAAGTTTGGGGCAATTAGAGCTGCCATCTAATTCACAGAGAACCAGCCCTGATCCTCCTGTGTGTCGAGGAGGACACAACGACAGCAGATATCAGTGGGAGCAGATGAAATATCCCACCACGATCTTTCAATGCTCCAATGCTTCCAATGCTCTAAAACTGTCGCCTCTATATTATCATATATTATAGTACTCATTGACTGCCATTGACGTATTTTCCTGGGACCAGTGATTTCTACAAACTTCCCTCTATTCGAGTGGGGACTACAAGAGAATAAAAGGAGCTAGAAACAAACAATCTTTCAGAATCTGGTGTCATATTTCACATAGTCATTGCATATAATATTCTGTGGGTCTTTAAAACTAGTGAAATCATCAAAAACGGCTAACAGTCAATTAGTTAAATTATATAATACTATATATTGCGGCAGAGTGAAGAGTGCGACTGTGGCTACGGATATTTATACTATATTTATGTAAACTGTGGAGGGCTAAGGGTCCGATAGAAACGTCCAAAGGGCCACATCTAGCCCATGGGCCAGGGTTTGCTCACCACTGCCATAGAGCACAGACAGAGTTTACATAACCCATGTGTGCCTTATTGTGGAAGATACAACTTAAAGCTAAATTATACGAGCTCTATGAGGGGGAATATAGAGCCAAATTCTGGGTAGCAACAGCATAGCAACCAACATTTTGGGGAAGGAAAGAACCTCATTGGTCAGTTGTTGTGACTGACACAAATGTTTTGTGCTCGAGAGTGTGACACAGTTAGAGTTTACTTTTCAATGTTAGTGAATAAAGCACTTCTCTATTACTGTTGGCTACATATATACATAAACAATGTTGTCCCTGCGAGAAAAAGGCCTCCCTGTTCCAAAGGGATAGGGTTTTAGTCAATGGATCTCTTGTATTTGTATAAAACATCGGCCAAATGAAAACAAATGCCAGGAGTAGAAGGACAGGTCCGTGTGCTGCGGCTGGAGATGAGCCTGAAAGACAAACACTGGCAAAAAACATTTCATATTAAAATTCAGAGTTGGAGCCAGCGACAGGAGTAATTAATGTGTGGGAATATCATTGGTTTGAAAACATATAAACAAAGCCAGTGATGGAGATAGGATACATTTAATTCTATAAAAGAAATTACATAGAACAGAAACCGAAAATTTGACCTGATCTGAATTTTCACACCAGCATTACAACCACAACAATGAGGAAGGTACTGTATGTGTTCTCTCCAAGTTTAATTTCCAAAAAGAGAGAAAGAGAACTGTATTTTCACACTTCCAGATTCCATTTCAGCACAATCTATATTTTTTTTGTAGATTTTCTTTTATTTCCATTTTATTAGATTAGATTCATTTTTTGATTTATGTGAATCATCATCAATACATAACTTTAGTATTAGCCCATAATCAGCAAACTTATTAACCACAGCAGAAATGCAATTCAATGTATGTTTGTATAGCCCCAAATCACAACAGCAGTGGTCTGGGAGGACTGTACAAAGTTGTCAATACACCAACAACAGATCAGAGAAGAAGATCAAGGACTGAGGCTGTAGATCCAGGACTGAGGCTGTAGATCCAGGACTGAGGCTGTAGATCCAGGACTGAGGCTGTAGATCCAGGACTGAGGCTGTAGATCCAGGACTGAGGCTGTAGATCCAGGACTGAGGTTGTAGATCCAGGACTGAGGTTGTAGATCCAGGACTGAGGTTGTACATCCAGGATCGAGCCTGGGGCTGTTTCTGCAATCGTACCCAGGCTCGATAGCGGCGGTCACAAAGCACCTAAAGCCCGGTTTAAGTGGGCCAGGGCCCGTTTAGGGATTAGATTATTGCATGTGACCGCAGCCTTAAGGGTCTATTGTGTGCACCTAGTGCAATTGACATTTATGTAGATTTTTATTTATGCATCATTTTATGCAATAAAAGGATTCTAATTCTCATTTTTTAAGAACTAGTCACTATTTCTCAAAACAATCTTTTGTATTTTATCAATTTAGTTTTTGGCTGATACATCAGGGCAACAACAGACTAAATGTAAATATGTCTTTATATTTACAACAATACAGGGCCCAACAATTTCCAAAAAGTCAATTTCTTTGACAATTTTCTGTACGAGCTCTAAAGAAACAGCACAGAGGGAGTTAACAAGTACAAATTGTCCCTTTGAGAGTCCAAAGCACCTGCATATGTGGGTCAAAAGCCCAGTGACGCATGTTCTGCCCTCACACTAAATGAATAAATCTCCAATCACTGTTGTTCTGGTTCACAGGAGGCAGACACAAGAAAACTGCAGCTCTTTGCTTAAACAAGTTTAGAACGATGTCGCCGCGGGAACAAGCCACGAGCCGCCCGGTGCGAATGATGGTGGATGTGTAAAATAATAATCCAATTTTAGAATATGGTTCATTGAGAGAAGAAACATCACAATTTAAATAAATATTCATGATTATTTTTATAATTGTGTTGTTTTACTTATTTGTTGTTTAACCTTACAATGGTTCATGTACAACTTTGACATGAAAATAGTCCAGAGCCTATTTAACTATATGTAAGTGAGTCATATTTATTTATATAGCGCCTTTCACAGACCAGAGTCACAAAGCACGTTACAATTAGGGTGGATATTTGTCTCTCGCTCCGCACAGAGATGGGAGCGGGGCATGCCAGACCTATTGTACTTGTCTTCAGTGGTAGAGGAAACCGGAGCACCCCAAGGAAAACTACACAGACACAGGGAGAACATGCAAACTCCACACAGACGGTGGAGGTGGAAACAAAACCCAGGACCTCCTTATTCGTTTTCTTACCTAATGGCCTCTAACCTTATTTGTTGAATACTACCAATTATCGTAGAGAAAACTCTAGTGGGCCACAGTCGGCTGTTCATCTCCACCTCAAGGCCTCCAACCACACGGTGGATGACACAGAGGTTAAAATTCTGGCTCGGGAGAAGAATTGGTTTGAGAGAGGGGTGAAAGAAGCCATTTTGTGAGGAAACAAAAACCTTCTGTAAACCACTTTGAGACTCAGATCTGCAGTGAAAAGGTGGTATATAAATAAAGATTACTACTTACTACTACTTCTCTTAACAGAGGAGGAGGGTTAAGATTTGTTTTGCCTCGCATCTATGACGACATCCTAAAAACAACGCCCTAACTTGGGACAAGGTCAGTGACATGCTAATGAGTTAGGGTCGTTAGCCTCAGCAGGGTCGTTAGACCTGCTCCCTTCTACATCAAACAGACCTTAGATTGTTTATGAGTTAGTATCAGGATTAGGGTGTGGCTAACCACACCCATAGGTTATAAATCTCCAACGCGCGGTCTGAGAATTCATTCCTTCAAGAAGTCCTTAGGATTGAGGACGAAACGTCAGGAAAACTTGCTAAGAAGTACAGATGATGGGTGAGAAACCTTCCTTTGCTTTGACTAATCCCTGTATAAATGAGGGCTTACACAAACTTACTACGAATTACATTTTAAAAAATACCGGTACATTAAACTCCCCCTTGGACTGCCACCTTAACGTGGTCGGGGAGTTTGAGTACTCGGATGATCCTGGGAGCTATGCTGTCTGGGGCTTCATGCCCCTGGTAGGGTCTCCCATGGCAGACAGGTCTCAGGTGACGAGTCAGACGAAGCGCAGTCCGAAGCCAACCATGGACAGCACTAAGACAAGAACGGTGACGTCGCCCGGCATGGCGCAGCCGGGGTCGCACCTTGGAGCCAGGCCTGGGGTCGGGCCTCGCAAGCGAGCGCCTGGTGGCCGGGCCTTAGCCCACGGGGCCCGGCCGGGCTCAGCCCAAAGGGATGACGTGGGCAGTCCCTCCTGTGGGCCCACCACCTGCAGAGGGGTCCGTGGTGGCGAGGTGCAGCGAGGACTGGGCAGCAGTCGAAGGCGGAGACCTCGACGACCCAGTCCACACACCCAACATCTGGCTCTTTGGGACGTGGAACGTCACCTCACTGGGGGGGAAGGAGCCCGAGCTTGTGGGGGAGGTTGAGCGATACAGACTAGAGATAGTCGGCCTCACCTCCACACACAGCTTGGGCTCTGGAACCCAACTCCTTGAGAGGGGTTGGACGCTCCACTTTTCTGGTGTTTCCCGCGGGGAGAGGCGGCGAGCTGGGGTGGCCATACTCATTGCCCCCCATCTCAGCCGCCACGTGTTGGAATTCTCCCCGGTGAATGAGAGGGTCGCGTCCCTCCGCCTTCGGGTGGGGGACAAGTCTCTCACTGTTGTGACGGCCTACGGGCCTAACAGCAGTGCAAAGTACCCGGCCTTCTTGGAGTCCTTGGGAGGGGTACTGGACGGTGCACCGCCCGGGGACTCCGTTATTCTCCTGGGGGACTTCAACGCCCATGTGGGAAATGCCAGTGACACTTGGAGAGGGGTGATCGGGAGATGAACGGCCCGCCCTGATCTGAACCCGAGCGGTGTTCAGTTGTTGGACTTCTGTGCCAGTCACGGCCTGTCCATCACGAACACCATGTTCGAGCACAAGGGTGTCCACCAGTGCACGTGGCACCAGGACACCCTAGACCGGAGGTCGATGATCGACTTTGTTGTCGTATCATCTGACCTTCGACCGTGTGTCTCTGACACTCGGGTGAAGAGAGGGGCGGAGCTGTCAACCGATCATCACCTGGTCGTGAGTTGGATCCGCTGGCAGGGGAGGAAGCCGGTCAGACCTGGCAGACCCAAGCGTGTAGTGAGGGTCTGCTGGGAACGTCTCGCTGGGAACGTCTCGCTGAGCCCCCTGTCAGACGAGCCGTCCGGTGCGAATGATGGCGGATGTGTAAAATAATAATCCAATTTTAGAATAATGTTCATTGAGAGAAGAAACATCACAATTTAAATAAATATTCATGATTATTTTTATAATTTTGTTGTTTTACTTATTTGTTGTTTAACTTTACAATGGTTCATGTACAACTTTGACATGAAAATAGTCCAGAGCCTATTTAACTATATGTAAGTGAGTCATATGTATTTATATAGCGCCTTTCACAGACCAGAGTCACAAAGCACGTTACAATTAGGGTGGATATTTGTACTCGGGTGAAGTACGTCCCACCGGGAGGAGGCCCCGGGGAAGACCCAGGACACGCTGGAGGGACTATGTCTCTCAGCTGGCCTGGGAACGCTTTGGGGTCCCCCCAGACGAGCTGGAGGAAGTGTGTGTGGATAGGGGAGTCTGGGCGTCTCTGCTTAGACTGTTGCCCCCGCGACCCGCCAACGGATAAAGCGGAAGAAAATGGATGGATGGATGGACGGTACATTAAATGAAATGAAAAAATAAAATAAAATAAAAATGAATGAACATATATTTATAGAAAGAGAAGGAATAATAATCATTTACATCCTCATTTTTGTCCATTATTTTCCAATGCACCATGATGAGCGACTGTTCCATACAATCCAACCCAAAGGTTTCTGATTTATCAAAATGTCAAGATTTCTGCAGCTTCAATCTCTGTGAAAAATCCCAAATCAAACACATGAAAGAAGCTGAAATCCACACACAGTGACACATCTCCATCACAATACTGTCATTTGTGGATTGCAGGCTGTAGCGCACACTTGCATCACTCTTAGATCACATTCACATAAAGAAAATATTCACAAAATTATAAATGACGAAAATAACAACCCATTTTGTGTCTGGTATTTGCTTTTCTCCTCATGTACAAACCTGGGTATTCAGAGTTTTAGACCAATCATCTCTTTGAACAGTCTCTCAGTAAAACATCAGTAGAACATCAGAGATTCCAATCTGGGGCAGATTGGAAGATACTAAACCGTGCTGCTAATGAACCAAACACAACTCAATCAGAGCCATAGAAAAATAACAAAAATACTGTTAATTATTTCCAAAGTCTGAACTGTTCCCTCAGAAATTTACTTTTATTTTCCGACAGCAGATTAAAATATGATCTGGGACAATAGACTGTATATGGATGGGCAATGCTAACCTGCTAGCTCAATGAAGCCCAAAAAGAAAAGTGCACATGGACGAAGTTTCACTCCAACTCGATCTGGCTCCTACTGACTCCTCTAGCTCAGCAACCGCTTGTGTCACTCACCATTTCATGCTTTAAACATTTTTTTATCGCTCTCCATGATCCTGGTGTTTATGTTGTGATATTGTCTTTGTAAATTCAGATTTGAGCCCTGTAAGGATTGACCAAGGATTGGAGGAAACTCCAGCTTGCCTTAGCAACCATCTTAGCAACACATTTGCTCCTGCTATGGCGCTAAGCGGAAGCCACAGAAGAAATGCCCATATAAGGAAATTGGCTCCAGCTAGCTTATGTTCAAATCTGTATTAAGGCTGAATTACACTTTTTAACTGCACAACGCTGAAACAGTCTTCTGAAAAATATGAGACAGGGTTCTTCTCTCACCATGTTCAAATCAGTGTTAAAAAGAGTTTGGATTGTATCTTTACTCTTTCAGTGTAATGTGATTATGTATTATTTAAATACCTTGCTAGTGCTTGTAAACATATTTTTCTTGTTAGAATTTTTATCTTCTTCCAGTAAAACCAAAGTGAGTTAGTAAACTTTATGAATATACACATTTGTTTCTGGGTCATGAAATAAGTACTAAGTAATAATTTTGGCTCAGTGCAACCTCTCTGTAATGGCTCCTTTGGGCTTTACACAAAATAAAACCATTTCTCTTTTTGTATAATTTCTATTAGGATATAAACGATGCATTTTACCACAGTCAGCCATCTGCTCAGTTGCAATAATAGTATTTCAATTCAATCCATTTCTATATAACCCTAAATCACAACAGCAGTCGTCTTGGAGCCTTTACAAAGTTGTCGATAGGCCAACAGCAGATCAGAGAATATACAATATAACAAACACAGGGAGCAAAGGGAGCGGAGGACCAATGTTTATAAATGTTAATAAATGTCCTTAAATTGTCCCACATGATCACTGTCTTTAGACCCTTTTGCAATTGGCAAAGAACTCAAAAAGACCCCAGAGGGAAAGGGTGTATCTGTTTGTGTTGGTTGGATTCCACGGTTCTTCTAATGGGTACAAAAATAACTTTTAAAAACATGTGTCATATTTCTTGCCAATGTTTTTTTGGCAAGAAATACTACTGTAGCCAAAATTTCCTTGGGGCACTCTGACAGAAAAGAGGCAACGACCACCACCATCAACCATTCACACACACACCAGACTCATTCTAGGCAATGTGGGTGAAGGGTCTTGCCTAAGGACACAACAACAGTTTGGCACTTTACAGCCACAGCCGCCCCACTGTAGCACCTGGTGTCCCACAGAGGTCTCTCATCACAGTACTAACCAAGCCCTGCCCTGTTTAGTTTCAGAGGTCTGATAAGTTCTGGCTTTCACGTGCAGGTAGCGCCAAGTCAAAATAATAAAATAAATGTATGCGTTAAAGTATTATTTTTGAAGTGGAACAAGTTGCTTCGTCCTTATAAAAGTTAATCGCTTTTTTCACCTCATCTGCCGAGCAAATTCTCCAGGTTTCTAACTGCAGACGCCTCTGACTTTTATTATACATTTATGGGATATGAACTTCCAGGCTTCACATTCGATTTGCTTCAACAAAATTACATTACGTTGTTCCTGAAATGCTGATTTAACAAACTCTCTTCATTGCGCAATATTAAAGATGGCCGTCAGCACTTTTGATCTCAATAAAAAAATGGTTGATATTTGCAGAAATATAACAAATAAATACATTGCCCAAAACCCCCACTGAAAGATCAAGGCTATGCTCACATTCAGAGAGCAGCCGTCCTCCTGTGGACTCACCACCTGCAGAGGGTCAGTGAGGGGCTGGTGCTATGAGACTTGGGTGGCATCTCTGACTGCCACCCCCCTGACCCAGAAATGGATTAAAGGGTAGAAAATGGATGGATGGATAATAAATACAGGTCCTTGAAGTGGATGCATCTGTTTTATGTGGCTCTGGGGCGAGGAGGACACCTGTTGGTCACTGGACAGAACAGCAAAGAGCAATAACAAGGTTTTTCACTAAAACCAAAAACATTTATTAATCTATTTTTGTCTACACATATATATATATATAACTTCATATGGATTTATTCATTGATTCATTTAGTTGTTTGTAAAGTTTCACATTCTAGTTTTGGGTTAGGGATTTGCTCACATTTCTCCATTGTGCGATCAATAAAGTATATCTTCTGCTTTTACAAATAAGATTATTGTGAGAGAGAGTGAGAGAACAGTTAAATTACTTAATATAGATTAATTCATTGTCTCATTTGCATATTCTAATTGGTTCCAAGTTTCAGATTCTAGTTAGAGTTGTAATCCTAATTTACAATTAGGATTATTGTGACAGAAAACAGTTAAAGCTGCATTACACAACTTTATGGTGGAGGGTCGACACTGCCTCTGCTTAGGGAAAGTTTGAATATAACAGTTATATCAAATGAGAAAATCTAAAAAAGAATATTTAGCATAATATGTGTCCTTTAAAGCAAAGTAAACGCAGGAAAAGTCCTTGGCCAAAGATAAATTGAATGGAAGAAATGTGGCATCTAATTTTTTGTATTCATTCAGTGCCATCATACAAATAATGCAACGCAAAGTGCTATATGGTTTGCTTAAAAACACACACACACACTAGGTCGAATAAATACTTGAGCCTGTTCTCTGTCGCCCTCAGCTCACGGGAAGATATTTTTTATTAAAATTTGATGTCTGCAACTTCGATTGTAAGTCATTTTGAAAAGAAAACTTATTCTTGACCGGTATGACCCTATTTTACCTTCTATATTAAGACATCTTCATAATGACAACAGCTCCTGCTCCTGGAATCAGCATCACCAGTGAGATGAGCTGGGAGAGAAGATTGACCAATGGGGAGGGGCCTCAGCTGTCCACCAAGAGTTAAAATTAATTGTGTCCAATAAGGAGCCTGTGGGGGCGGGTCTAACTGGCGCGTCAATCCAAACACGTCTCCACAATGTCAAAAGTAACTGACCTACACTTTAAGAGTATATTTTTATCGTAATAACAACAAGTCCTGAATGTCTAAATACCTTATTGAGCTGAGCAGCCTGCTTTAACAGCTGCTTTTTTCTGTTCTCTCCTCGTCGAGCGTGGAAGGCGTTTGGTTGACTCTGGATAACAATCACCACATCTTCTAAACCTGGAAACCACACGAGAAATTCACAACTTTATTTTTTTGCTCACTTTTGTCTTCCAGTTTCAGGATCACAATATTGTTCTACATTGCATTCTGTGGAGTGTTTTAAGTCTCGTCTTAAGACCCATTTTTATGCTGAGTTGTATGGTTTATTTTATTGTTTTTATTGTATTTTATTTATATACATATACAGTATGCACACACAGTTTTTCATATTTGATTTTTCATAATTTTACTGTGGATTTACTTTACTATGGATTGTTTTAATTGGTATTTCATTGTCCAGCACTTTAAAAACTGTGTTTGTGAAATGTGCTATATAATAAAGTGGATTGGATTGGATTGGATTGGATTGCTTACACCAAAGTGATCCTTCTGGCAATAAAGGAAAAAAAAGTGCAGAACGACATATTAGAGCAATACTAAAAAGTTTCTAGATCATATTCACACTGTTCTGAATCAGTGCAATTTTGCCATTTTAAACATTTAGCAGTTATGGCATATTACAAAAATGGTTGTAAGTGTTGCTAGTATAATTATCTACATGAGTTAAATGTTTTTGAAACCCGAAGCCATTTTCCGGAAAAAAGTTGAATAGAGTTTTTGGAATTGAGTAGAGGAAGTATAATTCTATTCTCACAATATTATCTTATTTTTCTTATTTTCAGATTGTTACTTTTTTGTTATTTTTATTGTGGAATAATATGCAAGCTACTGTGACAACGCAATTTCCTTGTGGATCAATAAAGTTTTTCTAGGTCTAATTACTCTACTTTCACTAATCTAGTCAGTAATATATATATATATATATATATATATATATTTATATATATATATATATATATATACACACATTTTAAACAATGATCTACCAAAAAACAAACACACACAAAGTTAGCTTATTGCTGATGAATTATTGAACAAAATTATTTGTATTCGCAACATTTTACATCACTATAGATTTAATTTATGTCTCGTATCCAACCCTGCGCTCTAGTCTACAATAAAATTGAGCCGCGACTGGAAAAGGAGTTGAAAACACGGCTCAAGACTTAGACCTCCTCTGTGGTATAATAAAGTAGATTTGGGTTTAAGTCCAGTCCGTCAGTGGAGTGACTCACCCAGAGCTGTGTTCCTCTGGGCCTCTGCAGCCTGAGAGAAAACACAATCAAACAACTTCAGTATCTGACAAAGGAAACTTGAGGATAAACGCAAATCAAGAGCAAATAACTGACCTGAGACGGCTCTTTCTCTGCAGCTGCGTGATCTGGAAGCGATAGAGAAAGACAAGTGCGAATGAGGTGCAAAGTTATATTTTCAAAACAGTTTCTAGACCACACGCATGAATACATATTAGAACTGCTCAATATGAAAATAAAAATATTAATAATAATTGGTGCAATATTGATGTTTAAAATATTAATAAACAGGACAATAACTTTACGTATAAAATAAATCATCTATTCTTTTCATGGAAGGAATGGAGAAAGACAAGTTAGAATGAGGTGCAATAATGAGGTGCAATACACATAAGGGCTGCTCAATACGTATATTGAAAAAATATTGTAATCCCGATAATGGCAAGTACAATATTGAGGCTGTTAAATGTGCAATAACTATGAATAAATTATGTGTTCTTTCATCGATAAACTCTGTAATTTCTTGCTATAGGGACAGACTCTTAAAGATGCTATACCCAATTTATTTTCTAATGAGTTCATAAAAATGCGTATTACTACATACAAGTTGTATTTTCATCCGTAATTTAATTGAAAACTTGAGCTCATTGATTCAATTTGTGAATGAATTCAGCCCGTAAAAAAAGTGCTGAGTAGAGATATATGGTGCTTTCACACCGGATCATGCGTTGCGTCAACTTTCAACGGAAAGTCAATGGTGACGCGCGTTCGAGTGACAAACTGCATGTGCGTTTCGGGACGCACGCACGGACTGCGCGGCAAAGGCGCAGGAGCGGAAAATCCACGCACGCAGAAGATAAATATTGCTGAGCGTTTCCTCGGGACGCTCGTGCAGCGACCAATCAGAGAGCCGAAAAGTGGTCCCGGATACATTAGCGGTCTGAGCAAGCAGACTGAACATACTCGGAAACATCCAAAAAACAGGAGCTACACCAGGAGCTACACCAGGACTAAACCAGGGTTGACAATGGGGGACATAGTGCTTGTGAACATATGCGTTTTCATGCTCCCGTGACTTTATACAACTGCTTTGAGAGTGTTCGCCGATGCGGATGTACGTAAGTATGGCGCACCTCCGTGAACACATACTGCTGTTACATAAAGTCTCTGGAAGGTCTCTGGACACAGAGAAGCTGCAGAGCTGTCTTATTGGAGAAGAACTTTACGCAAAAAGCCGCTAGTTCAACCCTGTTAGCATCAAAGTCCGCCCGCTACTTCCGCCACTACCGGCGGGCGCCACCGCAGGCCAGGACTTCTGGTCTGAAAATTAGAGAATGTGCGTCTGGTGCGCGAGGCGTCAGCGTTCCAGCATCGGCGGTGTGAAAGCACCTTTAGAGTGACGCTCGTTCTCCTCCACTCACAGAACGAGGAGCGAACATCCTGCGTCCTCTAGCCTCTACAGCGCTGCTAAGCACAGTAAAAACTAAAAACAGTAGCATGTTAGCAGAATTGGCAATAACTCTTCTTGCTGTAACTGCATACAGAGCAAAACAGCCCAAACGACACAAGAGTGAGGAAGAGAAGAGGGAACCAAAGCAAAAAAATTATCAAAGAAGAAATCAAGCCCGGGTGAACATAGCTAGCTTACATCGTATCCTCTGGAGAGACTAACAGTCTATGGGAGAGACCTGCGGGACTGCCTCAGACTATCTATGCTCGGACCACATTCGGACGCGAAACTAGCGGCAATCTTTCAGTTATATATTTTGTTAGCAGTGCGTTGCTTTTGTACAATTTCATCAGTGATTGTTGTACAGCTTAAGTTGCACTAATGCTAATTTTAGCATATATATCAGATCGCAAATAAAACTAGATGGCTCCGTGGAATGAGAGCGTAGGGGAAATGAGAAGCCTCTGAGCAAGTTGGGGGGCGGTGCTAAACATTCAAATCTTGCACAAACGGGTATAGCTCCTTTAATGCGGTCGCTGGAAAGAATAAAACACAACATAACAGGAGACGAAATGAGAGATAATTCTGTTTATCAGTATTCTGTACTATATCTGTAGTGTGATTATTTAGGATTGTAATTCCTTGTGTGATTTTGTTTCATAACTTATCACAACTTTGAGTTGTCCTGTGTATGAACTGTGCTATAGAGATACACTTGCCTTGTCTTGGTAGGATAGGGATAGTACTTTTTACCCTCCATACTTGCATCACCATAAATTCTATGCACAATTTAATGCCACATGAAATCACAAAGAATTTTTCTTTTTAATGGACAAAAAAAATATGCATTATATGCTCTTTACTATCTATAGAGTCAGAATACTAGTCCCACTACTGTTAATCCAATCCAGGGGACTCCAGAGGACCCCCAGGTGTGGCTCGAGACACTAGGCGGCTGGAGAGGATTTAAATATAAAATCTAATAATCTTTTTGTTGTTTTTACCAATTACATAATAACTGAGAGAAGTGAGAATCCTTGCTATGGCTCCATTTGCACCCAGGTGCAATAACAAGTGCTGCAGTGGATTAAAGCAAAGCAAATATATTCGTTTGTTGTTATTTTTCTTTGTAATCGACTGAACAGAAGCTCTATGGCTATTTTGCTCAGCTCACCCTCCACTGTAACAGGCTCTCTGATCATCTGCCATCTGCCAAAACACACCAGCTAATGTCTCTGTGAATCACTCAACTTCTGTGTGAGCAATAAGAAAGAAAGTCAACAGCACAGCGTGAATTTATAGTTCAACAAGTCTGCATTTGCATGAACTGTATGACCAAATGTGCTTGTTTCATTTCATGTAGTTTACAAACATTTACAGGATATTCCAAAAATCTCACTGCATTTGCAAAAGGCCTACACATAACATACGTAATACCACAAATCCCCTAATCTATTTGTTTGTACTACTGTTACTAAAATTTTGGTATGTTTTGTGAAGAAAAAGCTCAAAAGAATTTGGGATAAAATCAGATAATATATGAAATCACTGCCAAGTCAAACACAAAAACACATACGTCCTCATTGGCATTTCAAAATAATGTACTTACACAGATGCAATTATCGTACAGGGCACAAAATCAGGATAATTACGATAACAACTTAGATTTAATAAGATATATTATTTATTTTTAGCTTAAATTTCCCCCATAAATCTTTTTCATCTTGATTTCCATAACATTACTATTTTATTTTGAAGGTCCACTGCTATTTGATTTGGCGAACACGAGCTAGCTTTACAGTCACCGATTAGCCTTTAGCATTCGACGTTTCTACATAAAATAAAGCAAAATGTACACTCACCGAGCACAAAAAGGCCCTGCAGCACGAGTATAAATGTGTACAACTCCATCATATGTTGTCAACTCTGCATACGCCGCAGTGTTTGCCCATTTTGCATGATAAAGTGGAGGAAATAGCTCACATTCCGGCACCACCGCTATTCCCAGAGAACACAGAGCTGTAGCGACCTCTTGCGGACAATTGTATTTTTTCGTGTATTTTTGCATTTTCAGTTATTTTTTCATTGATATGCTATGTAAAAATGTCTTTCCATTAGTTTCAATCAGTGGTGTCGTCCTTCAATTCGCGGTCATTTTGATGGGTCCCATTCAAATCAATGGAATTCTGAAAAAAATCCCAAATTTTAATGTTTCAATACTTTTATTCTAATTTTGCCATTTTTACGGTTTTTACCTTTAACATTATATTAATCACTGAAAGTGATTAATATAACTTGAAATACAGAAACGCAGTTAGTTGAAAGGCTACCAAATGCAAACTGCTATCAAGTAAACAGTGTGTTTCTATGGTAACTAGCAGTTGCTCAAACTGAACCAAAACCGTGGATTTTTTATAATATCGACCCAAACCTGTCCATAACCAGCATCTTGGAGAAATTTACCGCAGACTGTTGGGGGAAAGTGACTGAAAATGGACATATATTTGAATTATTTATTAAAATGAAAAAAAAAAAAAAAACTGATAATGTTTTGGAAGTAAAACTACTAAATATTTTATGAATATAATGACATGGAAAATACACTACATCTAGAAATAGTCACAAAGTTATAAAAAACAAAAATGTACCTACCAGGACCGTGTATGTGTGAATTTTACAGTCTATGGTGTGACTACATAGTGGAGGCATAATAATTTGGATATATCAACAATACAACATTATTCATCCCACTGCAAAGCAAGTCTGTCATTTTGAGGATCTGGTCCCTTTGTCCCCTGTCAGTGTGAGGGACTAAAGAACAGCTTCAAGATGAGGGCTCTAAAGGGAGGGTATGACATGAGGAGCAGGGTTAGCTCTGTGGGATGAGGACCAGGTCGGGCTCTATGGGATGAGGAGCAGGGTGGAGGCGGCGCTGGTGAAGGTCTCCACGGTCTCCTTGTAGTCGCTGCCAAAGAAGCGCATGAGGAGGTAGTTTAGGATTCCCACCAGACACATCAGAACCAGGAAGAACAGGATCCGCTTCCCGAACAGGAAGCCCGGCATGCTGATGAGAGGAGAGACAAGACCGGTCACAACCAGAGACTAGCGTACGTATAAACCCAAGACATAACATGGGACATAACACTTCATTTTCATAAAAGATTGAGAGTTTTACCATTCACTGAAGGAATGTTTAAATTTACTTTTTAAATACATTTTTATGTTTCTAATAATTTTGCCAATACTGTGTGTGTGTCTGTGTGTGAGTGTGTGTGTGTGTGTGTGTGCATTTGCGTGTGTGTGTATAGGTTGTCTGTATGTACTGTATATGTATGTATAAGGGATAGTGTATTCATTTATTTTAAGTTATAGCATTTCTGTGTTTTTGTCATAGTTGTTGTTATATATATTTTTTGTTTGTACATTATTTTTGGTCCATTTTCAGGCCACTGTGGTGTTGAGTACATGGACTCCGTGAAGATTAAGATAATAGTCCCACAGTGGAGAAAATTCCATGTTGCAGCGCACATACAAGACAGTGGTACGAGCACACAACACACAAATGCTTCATAAGGGAAGATAATAAATAATAATAATAAATCTCTCTCTCCCTCTCTCTCTCGAAAAGTAGAAACAAAAAAAACTATTCTGAATATGACAAAGTATTCAAATGAGTCGACAAAGGCTTATTTAGTCCAACATGTGTGAGTAACTGTAATGGTCAAATTATGTAAAATCTGCAGAACTGTCCGAGCGTCATATCTGATAAACAAAAAGCTATTGTAATGTTTTACACACTGATGCATACATAGAGAGAGAGAGAGACAAAATAAGAGATTAGATAAAGTAATACAATAATAAGTAACCCTATTACTCATTATTTCATTATTTTAATTTTGATGTGTGAAATCTGAATTCTCTTATTTCCTTCTCTTTTTTGTTTTGCTGTAATGTGCACAACGATGACTTTGAAATTTCTCGACTGTGGGAAGAATGAAGGACTGTCTCATCTTATCAAACATCTTACCTTTGGGAGGTCTGACCCATGTAGCCAATCAGGTACTTATGCCGCACGACCAGGTACAGCAGACCAGAAAAAGCAGCTGGGGCTAGAGTCAAAACAAAACAGTAATTATAGATGACTTATAGTACTGCTTTATGCTATAGCAGCTGCCATATTCAGCACCAATGTTATACCTCATTTTAAAGACCAGAACTGCTGGACATCAGACAAAACAGTTTTACAATTTAACGTGGCCTCCTTGCTCATTTGTATTTATTTACCTCATTCTAACCAGGAATGCCCCGTTGAGATTAAGGACATATTTTTCAAGGAAGTCCTGGACAAGAGGCAAAAACAATTACAATATTGACTGCCTTCTCTCTTTTTCTCTAAGGGAGCGTCCGGTCTCTCTGCTTTCGGTCTTTACCCAAAGCTTATGACCAGAGGTGAGGGAGTGGACGTAGATAAAAAGTAATGCAAAGTAGTGTAATTCAAAACAGTAACATTTTATCATGTATTACATTAGTATTACTGTAAACCAAGCTAGCTCTATGTATTGAAATGAGACGTGTAGACCGGTAAATATTGACTTTTTTATTTATTTTATTGTTTTGTTTTTTTTTCTCCCCTTTTAGTAATGTGTTAAAAGAAAACTTGTAAAAAAAAAAGGTTAAAAAAACCAAAATGTAACCAGTATAATATAGTACAGAGTTAGCGTTAGCTGTGACTGGATTTACCTTGATTGAGACAGATTCCAGCGCACCACATCACTCCCATAAACGTGGGGTAGGAGTCCATGCAGTTTCGGCTGAAGAAAAAGTACAAACGTGGATTACAACATTTCATCTGTGTCTTCATAGTCACCAGTTGCAGCTACATCCTGTGAGAATTGCCTTTTCACACCGACACACACTTTAGGCCTTTTGCTGGTGTATACTTTAACATAACATTTACTCTGGAAAGCAGAAGGTAAAAGGCACGGAAAAAACTTTTCTGAATATGACAAAGTATTCAAATGAGTCGACAAAGGCTTATTTAGTCCAACGTGCGTTAGTAACTGTAAGGGTCATATTATGTAAAAACTGCACAACCGTCTGAGCGTCATACAGATTCTGATAAACAAATAACTATTGTACTGTTTTACACACTGAGAGTATGCATACACTGATGTATTTATATAACTGGAGTTCAATAAAAAAAAAATTGCGTTTTTGTTTTGAGATCTATGGTACGATGTGTTTTTTTCCATGTAAAATTATACAGTTCTCACTACAACGAAGCAACCAAATAAATGTTAAGGGAAAAAATGATAGTGAAAAAATAAGTCTAATTAATTTTTAAAAGTTCATAATATATACCACCATATATTTGTAGTAACATAATTTGACGAAATAACATAATTTTAGGGGCTGGTTCTGGGAATAGAATTTACTGCCAATCCTGATTTGCACTGCTTCTTGCTTTAAAACTGGATTACTTAAGTTTTTTAAATATAATCTTTACTATTTTTAGATTATAAATTACAACAGAAATACTCTTGTCGTTCTGTTTTATTATATGTCAAATGTTCTGGACAAATCCCAGGGACCAGAGATTAAAATGAGAGAGTTATTATTCACATTTATGGACATTGGCCAAACGCCCCGTATGGCTCTATGTGTTTTTTATCAATGGATCTTGTGTTTGAACTGTTTGATTCTCTGATCTGCAGGTTTATGTGGTTTTACGACGTTGTATCCATCACTTTTGAACGGCCCATGTCCCATGTCAACCACGTTACCCAGAGCAGGTCAGACCTAACTCTCCACTCTCTCCAGTTTATTCCAGGAGAATTCCAAAGCGATCCCAGGCCAGCCGAGAGACATGGGCCCTCCGCCATGTCCTGGTCTTCCCTGGTCCCTCTTCCAGGTGGGACATACCCATAACACGATCACCACAGGTAAATTAGGAATTTTTATTTATTTATTTTTTACTTTTCTTTTCTCATAATAACACATAAAACGTATTCTAAAAGTAACATTCTGTCAAAATCATATCACAACATGCACTAAACATCTTGTTAAAGCGCCCTGTGAATCACTATTTATTTTTTTTCATCACTATTTGACACGCTCAAAGTGGATTTAGTGAGGGAGGTTCTCTCTTTTCCTCTTTTCTGTCTGAAAAAGCTGATCTAAAGATGTGACCCCGTAAGTACATTCAGGAATAAGCCAAAATATTTTAGATCCAGGAAGATGCATTTTATAGTTTATCATTGTTGTGGTTTGAAAGTTAGGTCACCCAGCTTTAAGCAAAGAGACATAAAATTGCATGGAAATTGCTCAAAATGAGGCAAAACCCCAGATAATAATTCAATGCAAAGCAGGTGAGATAGAAGTAATACTATAAATCAAAATATTCACTTACTATGCACAGGTGAGTCTCTCAATCGCAGCAGGGTGAGTGGTCTGAGACGTGCACCCCTTTTCCACTTTGAGAGACAAAAACACTAAGAACAAAACACAAAATGAAATCAGAGTGAGAGAATAGAAAAGCTTAAAGGGCAGATTTAAAGCCATTACCATTCTGCAGTACGCTGAGCACTGTGATGATGGCCAGAAGGTAAATGTTCTCAACAATGTTATAGTCCATGGCGATGAGTAGAAATGCGTTGGAAGATCTGAGAAAGTAAAGTCCTCTGCAAAACGTCCAAACTGCGTACATATGTAGCCACCAGCCCCACCTCCTGCTGTGTTTTTTTTAATGCAAATTATCTGTGAGCAAACGCATGGGGCAAGACCAGGAACTTCCTCTTGCATTTACTCGACCTGTTGATGTAAATGGAGTCTCCTTTCGTAAATAATCAAATATTCTTGCCTTTTCTAGATGGCTTGATGGTTTCTGAATACGTTGCGTTTATGTATTTCATAAGGAGATCTTTAATTTGTCCCACAGTGGGTAAATTTGTGTTCAGTGTTGTGTTTCCAATCAATTCAATGCAATTCAATGTATTTTTGAATAGTCCTAAATCACAACAGCAGTGGGCTATAGAAAGTTGTAGATTACCCATGTGAGATTTCATAACACTTTGAAGCAACTTTTGTTAAAGTTAAACTCATAATTCTATCAATGTGCAGAAGCCAGTACTTTTCCCTTGTTTTGTCTATCTGAAGGCCAAGCTACATGGCACTGTGGCAGCTGCTGATTGGAGGTTTCCATGCCTCCGCTCTGTATAATACACTTGCATTCTTTTGTGTGCTTTGTTCGTGCTGTCTCTACCATCGACAATAAAACATGTCTTCTGTCTGAATGAAAGACGCGACCCCAGACTTTGTCATCTTCTTCACCCAATAATAGATTAGAGAATCAAACAGTTCGAACACAGGGGATGTAGAAATGCAGAACACATAGGAAGCATTAGAGGATGACCGTCGTCCAAAATTGTAAAAAAAAAATGTCCCAGATCATCTGGACAGCATCGGCAACTAATGATTCAAGCTGCCAAAAGGAGGAAATGTTGAATATTTTCCCAAATCATTATTTTGATAGTGATTATTCCCAAACCTGCCATATTATCTGTCTATCTAAGTTCTGTCTACTAGCCAAGTTACATAATGTATATGTTTTTGAATATTGTCACAACTTTTAGACACCTTGATAGGGCTCTATGCTCTTACGTCACAAATCAAGATGGCGGTTAGCGAAGGTGAAAACAGCGACCCCGGCCCCATTGAAAACACTGGCAGATCGCTGACATTAGGTGGCTGTAATTGGACTTGAGAGAATTTATTAAGGTGAATAATTTTCGGATTGTGATCAAATGTCATTTGATTACTATGATAACCTGCCAATTGAGGCAAAAGTCCGATATAAACAGAAATTGGACCTAATTGGTCTAGATACATGTTTGTACAAACTGCCAAGAGGTACTTGGATTAACGACCCAACTAAATGGCCAGATTTGGAGTACGGAGACCTATATACCTATCTCATTGACACACCAGGTAATTTCGTAATCAGTTTCATAGTTAAAGCTTAAGATCTGTTTTAATGTTCAATGGCAATGAGTGGTAAGTTGGACCAGAGAACCTTTTAGCATTTTCGTGAGTAATTAGCAAAAGACGCGCGCGCTTCACTAATCCATCTAATTTTGTGCTGAATTTCACGCATTGATGTTTGTATTTCGGGAAATAATTATGATCTAAGTTACATGTAATGTTGACTAGAAAATGTTTTAGAAGCTCTCAACGACGTTGTGACCAGTTTTGATTTAGCTAAGGCATGATTTAGCCAACGTTATGACTAAACAAACTAACAAATGGTCGTCATTGCAAAAGAGTTCTCAATTGACTTACCTGGTAAAAAATAAACAATAAATATAAAAATTTATAAATTGTGTTTAAAGCAAAATAAATCATAGAATTTGTAGCCTGCTGTCTCGGGCACAGTTGCATTAAATGTTAAAACATAATCCACACAATTTGTTTAAAGCTGCACGTCGATTCTAATCAGAAACTTACTCAGTGTAAAAGATTGATAACTGTAATTCCGACGAAATTACGAGAAGATTTATTTACTATCAAGTCTCAGTAGTGTAGCACTGAGTACAGACTAAAGTGAGTTACTGTCTGATTATAATTATGTTTGATTGAATTGTTACACTGGTTAATGTTAGACTGTAAATACTATACAGTATAATAATTTGATTTGTTTTTCAGAGTATCGATTGTAATTGTAAGTGTAAGCTCTTTTTTCACCAAATTAGTAGATCTACATTGTATGTTTGTTTGTTTCAGGTGTGTTCACCAGGGAAAGCATGAGGAATAAGATGAGTCTTGAGGCCTACATCTATTTCCAATCGGGATGGGTGGAGAACATTCTTTGTCACTTCATTCCGCAGACCAGACACACATTGCTACTTGCCAACGTCAAACCTTCGCAGAGAGTCAACGACCAGCCTCATAAACCATGGGTTGCCTTGACAGCAGAGGGGAAAGTGACAGCTGGTCACTGCACCTGCATGGCAGGGTAAGTGTCCATGATTTATGACACCATTATAGCAGTTGTATTACAAATTAACAACCTCTTAATTGATGCTATTGACCCCATGCCATTAAAGAGGTGATAACTGTGTTACATAACAAAAACTTTTTTTGTTCACAGACTTGGGGAATCCTGCTCCCACGTGGCTGCCCTCCTCTTCAAGGTTGAAGCGTTCGTTAGACTCGGGCTGACCAAAGAAACATGTACAGATGTGGCCTGTAAATGGAATAATGACTTGGTTGAAAAGGTGACCCCAGACCCCGTGAGCAAAATCAAATTCTACAAAGACACACGTGTGCAAAAAGTCAAGAAAAAAAAACGATCAAAACCATATTCCAGAGCTACTCATGATGAACAACAATCATTTCTCAAATCATTATCCGAATGTGATAGCAAACCTGTTGTGTTGAGTTGTTTTAATGGTTACTCTGAAAACTTTCATTGGAAGAGAGAATCAACACCAAAAATAAAACTTCCACAGCCGTTGCGAAAACTGTATTCTGCTGACAATTATTCCTCCTCCCAAAAAGAACTCCTACAAAAGTGTGAAGAAATCATATCAAACATGAAAGTCACAACAGAAGAAGTCACTGAAATTGAGAAATGCACTTTAGGACAAAGTGACTGTCTGGCATGGTATGAACAACGGTGTGGGAGAATAACTTCATCAACAGTGCATGGTGTTCTGCACACAGACCCAGACAAACCATCCCGTTCAGTTATCAAACAAATCTGCTTCCCTGAAACTGTGTCTACAACTGCCATCAACTGGGGACGGAAACATGAAAAGACAGCTCTTAAGGCCTATACACAGTTTTTGAACAATATTCAGCCACCCCACACTGGTGTTAGTGTACAGAGAACGGGCCTTAGAATCGCAGAAGAGACACCCTTCCTAGGGGCTAGTGCTGACTCAATAACACAGTGTGAATGCCACGGCAAACGCGTTGTTGAAGTCAAATGCCCTTACTCATTTCGTAATAAGACACTACAGGATTTTTTAAGTGATAAGAAGTGCTGCATTGAGGGTGCAACTTTGAAAAAAGGACATAAATACTTTGCACAAGTACAATTGCAAATGTATGTGTACAAAACTCAACAGTGTGACTTCTTTGTGTGGACTGAGAACTTTTGTCTCCTGGCCAATGTTAAGCGTGATAATGACTTTATTGAACACATGTTGCAAACAACAACAGCCTTTTTCAAAAACCACATTCTGCACGAGCTTATGACAAGAACTCTGGAAAACAAATGCAAAGAAGAGTCTGAAAACATGCAAAATATTTCAACTAATTTTTACTGTGTGTGCCAGAAGCCAGAGGACAACAAGCAATATATAGGCTGTGACAATCCAAATTGTAAATACAAGTGGCTGCACTTGGACTGTTTGAAACTGAAAAAAGCACCAAAAGGTGAATGGTACTGCCCAATTTCGAAACGGTCCAGGAAGAGTTCTTCGTACAACTTCACTATCAGGCCATTTAATTAAAAAGGCAAGTTTGGTTGACACCAGTTCGATCCACTTCCAGAAGATCTTACTAACATGGCTTATTGAGAGATCTGTAGCATGGCCTATGTATTCAAAGGGCAGGTCCATCCTCAACTTTAACAACGTTATAAAAAACTGATCTCTCAAGTCCAATTTCTGGGCGTTTTTACTGGTTTGTACAAATGTCACCAAAAATGAAAACGTTTTCAGGAACACACCCCATGAAATACCAGTAAAAAAATTACACTTCTTATCATTTCCTTCCACACAGGAAGCATGAAGGTAAGCTGCACATTTCAGTCTCTTGTTGTCTTCAAGAAGGTTTGCTTTTTCCTTGCGCAGGTTGTCAATTTCCTCATACAGCTGCTTCCGTTCATCGTCACCAACCGGCTTGGAAAGTGATGAGGGGCAAGGAACTGATGTCGGTGTATCAAGGCTGTCTTGAAGTACTGATGTCGGTGTATCAAGGCTGTCTTGAAGTACTGCTGTCGGTGTATCAAGGCTGTCTTGAAGTACTGCTGTCGGTGTATCAAGGCTGTCTTGAAGTACTGCTGTCGGTGTATCAAGGCTGTCTTGAAGTACTGCTGTCGGTGTATCAAGGCTGTCTTGAAGTACTGCTGTCGGTGTATCAAGGCTGTCAAGTACCCTCTTCTTGGGTGGAGTTTGTGAAGGGACGTGAAGTTTTCTCTTTGAGGCAGCAGCAAATCTCCGGAGCTTGGACTCTGATGATTTGGAGTCAGTTTTGATGTGCTTGAAGATGGAGGGAATGAAGTCAGGATGCGTAGGATCGGTACTGGGTCTCCCTGAAAACAGAAAACAATTGAATATAAATTAATCAGGGTAGATCTTACTAGATAGTTAAATCTATTTAAACATATTAAAACATAAATCATGCATCATAATGGTTTACAGTTCAAGTGATTTATTGGATAATAATCGCTTAACTACTACAGGAATAAGCAATAAACGACCTTTCGCTGTGAGCCCCAAGTCCGTATTAAATATAAAGGCATTTCTATGACCAGAGCTTCATTTAAAACAATTTAAAATCAAACCATGTATGCAGACAATGTACAGTGTTTAGGTAATCTAAATAGTTTTACATTATGCTGATAATGTGATGTAACTGTTCCATGGATTTTTTTATTTACAGAATTCAATTCTATATGTAAACTTAAGATGTGATTTAATAGGTTTATATATATATATATATATATATATATATATATATATATATATATATATATATATATATACCATTAGGTGTGCTCGCAGCTCAGTGCTCAACATCCATAACATCTTCCTTCCTTTAGATTAATGTTCTGATATTAAACCCTTTAAACTTTTAACAATTGTTAAAAGTTTAATAAGTATTGCAGGCTGTAATAACATACATCCATATCAACAACTCAGTCACTGTAGGTTGGCAAATTAACATAACAACTCTAATATCTTTTAACAAATTTGAGTCGTTCCACAGAGGGTGGTTGGTTTACTTCACTTAATTTGTTTATATCGGTCTTTTGCCTCAATTGGCAGGTTATCATGGTAATAAAATGACATTTCATCACAATCTGACCATTATTCAGCTTAATAAATCCTCCCAAATCCAATGACAACCACCCAATGCCGTTGTATTCACCTTTGCCAACAGCTATTTTGATTTGTAACTAGCACCGGAGAGGCCAGTTACATCGCTAGCAAAGTTGGTTGTAGCAAAAATATTTAGAAAGCAAAGTAATCATGCATTTTATCATAATCGAAAACGATTCTTACCACTTAAGAAGTGTTCGCTACAAAGGACTGTAAGCTTGCTTGGCCTCCAATCCGAACCGTCCGGATTCACTCTCTTCACACTGTTGACCCACTTTTTCCAACGTTCAGGATGTTTCGGGAAGGTAAAGAATGAAAATTTCTTCCCCATCATGTTATGGTTTGAACATCCAACCGCACAGCAGCTTTTAGGCATGATTTACTGAGGAAAAACGTAATTTATCGTACACAATCTGTCATTCTCAGGCAAAATCGCTGTCTAACACCGCCATTGTTTTCACCTCCAGCAGTGCGGCGCTCTGAAAGTACCCGGATGGGAAAAGAGCCCTATAGCTTTGACTCGTCTCCAATGTCAATTCAGAGGTTTATTACTGCAAAACATCCAAGGTAAAGCAACAAAATAGATTCGCGCCAAATCGGGGCCTCGGCCGAAAAAGTTACGTAGTACAACTTTAATGGATCGAAGACTGGCACAGGAGATCAAATGGTAATTGTAACTGTGTAATGAGAATGAAGGTTATCCATCCATCCATCCATCCATCTTCTTCCCCTTAATCCATTTCTGGGTCGGGGGGGTGGCAGTCAGAGCTGCACCCAATTCACTTAGCACCAGCCCCTCACTGACCCTCTGCAGGTGGTGAGTCCACAGGAGGACGGCTGCTCTGTCAGTGACAATACAGCCTTGATTTTTCAGCGGGGGCTTCAGGCAATGCAGGGTTAAGTGTCTTGCCCAAGGACACAACGACAGCAGTCATCAGTGGGAGTCGGTGGAGAAGGTCCCGTGGTGGGCTTGAACCCACGACCTTCAGGCTCAAAGGCCAGTGCTCTACCAACTGAGCTACTGTCGCCCCAGAATGAAGGTTATGTTAATTCATAAAGACTGACGTGATGTCTTTAAAGCAGCTGTGACGTGAGAACCAGAAGCACGTAAATACTGTCAGCACGTGCGCAGGAAGCACGGAATACGTTAATGTTACAGCAATATGGGTCTATTCGACAGCATCCTACAATGGCCTCCTACTAATACAATGTTTATGGTATCAATAGCTAATATCTGGATAAAGACTCGCAAATTATTATGAGAATCTACAGTTTACAGCCTCGTGACTGTAATTAAATACGGAAGTGCATCAAACTACGTTCTTACGTTGCAGCGCGCGCAACGTTAAACATTTACGCATTCTCCAAGCGACTCAGAATCACATGTTAGCAAATAAAAACTTTCATTGTTAGTGGACTCTTTTGTATAGAGGTGTAAAAACGTAATGTTGTGCCCCATAAACCAGTGTCCCATATGGTCTAGCGGTTAGGATTCCTGGTTTTCACCCAGGCGGCCCGGGTTCGACTCCCGGTATGGGAACTAAATCTTTTTCTTTTTCGTTACTGGGACAAAACCAAAAGGGGTCAATAATGTTCTTATATATTATGGATGCCAAATGTTGCGCGTCACAGCATTTATGTATTTTCAGTTGCAAGAATAAAACACACGAAAATATAGATCAGAGACTAGGGCAGGGGCACTCAAAACATGACTAGGAAACAGGGGTGCGAAAAAAAAGTGAATAAATACTTGGAAATAAGTAAATCAAAATGACATAGGTGTGTTTTCTCAAAAGTGTTTGACCTGAAATATATATAACAAATATAAATACCCTATATTATGGTTATCAGTTTCCACAGGGGGCAGCTGTTAAATTCCAGACTGCTGGCAGATTTAATCCAGATTGCTTGATTGTAGGGCTGAAACAACTAATCGATTAATCGACGACTAATCGATTATTGAAATAGTCGACAACTATTTTAGTAATCGATTAATCGTTTTCTGGTTCACACGGACTCAAACAGAGCAAAAATGACATGAAAATGTAGTATTTTTGATTAAAACAGACTTTGTTTTTATAATTTCATGAATATCTGTCTGTCTCATCCAATCAGATAGCAGAATTAGCACAAAGAGCCTGTTACAAACATTTACTTTAAGTTTACGCCATCAATACGTCCTCGAGTGTTGCCACTTTAGCTTTTTGTGATGAAAAAATATTTTTTTTCTACACAATTCACAGCCAAGCGATTACTTGATTAATCGTAAAAAGCGATAGTAGCTCAGTTGGTAGAGCATTGGCCTTAAGCCCAGAAGGTCGTGGGTTCAATTCCCACCTCTGCACCTTCTCCCACTGATGACTGCTGTCGTTGTGTCCTTGGGCAAGACACTTAACCCCACTTTGCCCAAAAAGCCCCCACTGAAAGATCAAGGCTATGCTCACACTCAGAGAGCAGCCGTCCTCCTGTGGACTCACCACCTGCAGAGGGTCAGTGAGGGGCTGGTGCTATGAGACTTGGGTGGCATCTCTGACTGCCACCCCCCTGACCCAGAAATGGATTAAAGGGTAAAAAATGGATGGATGCTTTGGGAATGTTGTCAAAATCTACATGTCTTATTTTAGTTTTAAACTTTAGCTGCTTTTACTTTACTATTTTAGTTAGAAGTTTTGGATACCTCCCCACATTTGACCATTATAGCATTCTATTCTTACTAATAACACAAAGATAAACAAACAGCAAGATTTTCATTTTCACACATGATTTATTCCATCCAAGGCAAATGTTTACAGTCATATTTTCGAACGTACAAAAAGGCAATAACAACATGTACAATTACAGCCAACAAAACATGGCCTCAATTCCTCAAGTGACACCTAAAAGATGAAACAAACCATCAGATACTGGTTAACGGAACTTCAAACAAGAACCATTTACAATTTAAGTGCAAAAATAACTACAGTAGAAATAATTCAACAAACAGACTTTTGAACAAATCCTGGAAAGATTTATTATTTTATTTCAGCCCTCCACAAAATGCAAGAAATGTAGCAGCAACAGTTTGGGGGAACAGACTTTGTGTATTGCATAAAATTAGAATTGCCAATTGAATAAGTGCTTAATTGGTAATATATTGGTTGATAGCAATAGAAAAGATAAAACAGAGGCTTTGTCGCCCATAGCAACTTGTCCTATTCAAAGCATAATGAGATTCCCGGTCAATTTATAAGTCAAAATAAATGTTAATAGTCAAACATTTACTGTATTTTGAAAAAATATCCTCTTTTGCCTATGGTGATTTGATTTGCAATATCATTGAGTGTTTATGTTAATTTGACCATATTTTACACTCTTAAAGTTTGAGACTGTCCTTATATGGGCTTTCAGTCCTAATTGATTGCGATTATTCTTAAAGCCAGAGACAAGAATCTGAAGTTTTGATTCCAGCATACAAACACACAGTCTAGGCATTGCTTCTTGACTAGTTTTAGTGTATGGGCCGCCTGGTTTTGAAGACAGATTATGTTTTTGCCTGATAAAAATAATCATAATCCATGACACCTGCAATACATTGTGTATTTAGTACATTTGAAAGCCTAATACTGAGCAGGAGACGAGTTTACGTATTCCATATTGAGGCCCACCATGCTCTGTCACTTTAGACATCAGCAGAAACACGGCCACACAAATGAAGTTAGCATTCAGAAGATATTTTAAGTAGTGCAGTGGATGCAGGGACCCAATACAAGTAATTTATCACCAGTTATTACCAAAAACCCATTAGACATTATTGATGGCTAGGAATTCTGAGGTTAAATATAGGAAGAACCATCAAAAGTTTTAAACCTGATTTGAAACGCAATATTGGATTTTGTAGTTGAAAATTTCTACCGGTTTCTGTACCCAAACCAAAACCTAATCAGAGAAACAGACCCAACTCCATGAGCGGATCCTCTTCCATTTCGCCCGGTCTTTCCGCGACGGCTTGGGACATGAATTCGTCCAAAAAGTCATTCGTCTCCATGCCTGTATTCTGCTGCATCTGCGTACTCTGGCTCATCTCCATGCTGACGCTAGCTTCTTGCCCATTTGCTAACATCTCTAGAAAGTCCGTGCTGTCGGGAGATCGAGTGCTAGTCACCGTAGTCGCCGGAGAAAAGAGATCGGAGAGAAACTCGTCGTCTAAAGTGCTGGAGGTGACGCTGCCTGGTGAGAAGGCATTGGTGCTGTCCGGTCTGGCCTCTCCCAACATTTCGTTTAACTGTGCTAGCTTTTTCTTCTTTGCTTTGAGCTTTTTCAGGAGCTTGTACCTTAGAGCTTCCGTGTCGCTTAACCCTGAAGGCGTTTTTGACGATTTTGTTTTCCTCGAAGATACTACGTCATTGGTAAGTCCTACAATGGACCCGTTTGGATTGTTACCTAGAGATGTAAATGCTTTCACAGGCGGCTCAATAGGTTGTTTATTCGCAATCACGGGTGCTGGATTTGGTTTCAAATTCTTGGATCCGAACCCTCCATACATTTCCGCTGCTTTCAAAGGAAGACCCAAGTTGTGCTCAGTTCTTAGCAACGGTTTTAGCTTGACTTTATCGTGACTGGGAGCTTTCGGCGGTGGTGGCAAGTTGACTGGACTCTTTCGCCAAATTTCCTTGGTAGATTGGTTGGGATTCATTTTCTGTGCGTTTGTCACATGTCCCAGTGAGCGCTCGAGAAGGTTGGACCAGCAGTTTTGGTCTTGTTGGATTGGCGAAGGAGTTGGAGAGAAACTTGGAGGGCTAGGGACAGTAGAAGAAACGAGAGAGGTGGGTTTTTGTGCTGGAGTGGATTTTCTTTGAGTAGGAGTACTGGTAAGTGCTCTAGCAACTTTATTTGCAGGGTCTATTTTTGTCCTTTTGTTTTGTCGAACAGTCTCTCTCGGTCTCTTTCCCGCTTTAAATTTGGGCTTATAAGTTGGGTCATCAGCGGTGTTGTCCGGTTCTGAAAGATTGTCGTCAGATTGAGAAAGACAAAGGTCCATGGCTTGACTTTTGACGTTAGCAGGGGTTTTTACTGCCTCTATTGTAGAACTGTCTGGAGCAGGAGCACTAATATCTATTAGATCTTGTGTTTTCTCGTCAACATCTTCACCATTTACAATTTTAACTACTTTTTCTGCGTTGGTGGAGTTTGAACCCAGAATTGTGGAATTCAAACCCAGTTTTTTGGAGTCCTCCGAAATGTCGACCAACGTGAGAGTGACAATGTCATTGTGCGAAAGACCTTCAAATGTTTCGAGAAGCGTTGTTGACCCGATTGTGGTGTCGACCTCTGCCATAATGCTGGCATCCTGTTCCGAAATACCATCCACAATATCCGAAGTGTTTTGAGGGTGGAGAAGCGACTGATCCGGAGAGCTTTGGAACAACTCTTGTGCGATATTATCCAAGTCCTTCACACTGGGGTGGATGCGATTTGTGGATAGCGGGGTTTCGGTGGAGGTGCTGGAGGGGGAGCAGGCTCGGGACTCCTGCCGCTGCTCTTCCTCCCAGAAAACGATATGGATTTCCTGAGCTGGGACCGGGAAAGTCTGGTGCGATGTGCAGTGCGGATGTTTCAAATCGTCAAACTCCAACCAAGACCCTGCGACACAAACACACGTTCAGTGTTAAATATTAGGAACTTCCTTGTCCACATTTTGGCACTTAACTCAATTCCCAATGCTTTCATGATAGAATGAAGACGAGTGTTGTTTTTACCCTTTTGTTCTGTCATATTGTTTGAGAAATGAGCAAGATTTAGAAGCAAAAAATTGTTTTGTTTGTGAGGATTTGTCCAGTCCAGGATAAAGATAGGTGTGATACTTTATTGATCCCCGTAGGAGAAATGCAGGTGTCACATAAGATTTAGATTTATTATGGATCCCGTAGTAAGAGCTGACAAATGCACGGCTGTGATATTCTGCAAATGTTTAAAAATGTAATAGGGCATCAAGCCGTTGTCCTGAAATCACCAGCAGAGGCCGGTATTGTGTTTGGATCAACAAGCTGCTAAGAATGTCTTCAGGTTAAAAGTAAGAGTTACAATCCATAGAGACAGGTAAATTCATACATGGTAAAGAAAATCAGTTAATTTCATTGTGGTCTCTCTATAGCTGTAAACCATTTTCTCCTTGGAGGGTGGTTGACTACACGAAGAAGTTCTGATCACACACTCATTCATCCATCCATATTCACTGTATGATGGATTTCAGCCAGGGGGCACTATAACTGGTTTACTTTATCCCCGGTCGTTTCATGTTATAATACGCCAAAAATATTGGCGTTTTTGCTTGGAGTGAATCTTGAGCTAGCTAGAAAGAGGTCTGAATAAGCCTCAAAACACATATACAAGATATATAAAACCACATTTTTTATATTAAAATTAATTTATTGAATCAGATCGGCCATGGTGAAAAGTACACATGGATTTTTAACAGCAAACAATAACATATTTTGTAGAGTTAAAAATAGACAGTTATCAATTTCGTATAGTTAGCCTTTTGAACCCGTTGAAAGCGAGGAGTTTAGATTTTATGAGGTCAAACAGTTAATCTCGCATTCTCACCCACAGCACAAAGAGTAATTTCCTTTTTATCTCAGGTCATAAAAACTGTTCAACATTAATTGGGCATGTTAGTTCCTTAGAGGCCACAAATAGAGAGAAAGTAATCAACACTGAATCGGTTTAACGTTTAATGAGTGACCAGCAGCGGTTGAAAACTTTAGTGTAGTCTGCCTCAAAAAGAAAAGCATTTATCTAGGCACAGCTTTCTCCTGTCAATTACTTTCTTTAGACCAGGGGTGCTCACACTTTTTCAGCAGAAACTCAGGGTGAAGACATTTTATAGATCCATGGTGAAGACATATGTTCATAAGCACTGACCCCCATCCTCAGCCCTGGTTTGATCCTGGTTTAGCTCCACTTTTGGTTGTTTTCGAGCGCGAGTCCCCTGATCACTTTGCTGCTCTCTGATGTGGAGCCAGGGTGTTGGCTGCTGCGAGTGGACAGTTTCTAAGGCAGTAAGATCCATGCTTCTGTGATCGGAGGTCGCACGTTTTGTTTTGGGGGCATACTGTGGCGTGCGAAAACGCAAAACTCCGGTTATCTCTGTCTACACACAAATGCATAAACTGATAATTTTTTTTAATGTAATGCGATCTACCAATACTACCTTTGCGATCGACGTATTGAGCACCCCTGCTTTAGACAGTCAATAGGTGTGGAGTGGACCCATAATGTTCACTTAGCCACTGTTGAGGCTCTGTTTAGCTAGCTGCTACTGGGCTAATGTTGGGAATTCCATGTAATTGTCAAAGCCAATCAGAAGCGAGGGACAGGCCTCACAGGCACAAGGCAAGAAAGCTGTCAGACTGGTTTTTAAGGGAGCCAATTAGGAACATGATTTGTACTTCTAGCTGTATTAACAAAGACAACAGTAAAATAAAAACACCAGGGTCATTCAGGGTGGCCAGATTGGTGAGTGCATCAGCAGCTGGGACTGAGAAGAGCAAGTCAAACATGGATCAATTATAATAATAATAATTAGCGTTGTCAAAATTATCGTGTTGACGCACGTTAAATACATTTTTCTCATTAATTGCATCACATAATAAAACTCAAAGGCCGCGAACACATGCAAGTGATGTAGGGCTGGGACAACGCGTCGACGTAGTCGATGACTTTAACACAAAATATGCGCGTCGATTTGTCAGTCTCTGAACAAAGATGGCAGCGAGTAGTAGCAGAAGTACGCGAGTGCGGTCATGGGGCGTTCAGTCTGCTGGAACGCGGTTTCCACACGCAGCAGACGCACATTCTCAAATTTCAGAGGCTAGGGGTGTTCAGACCAGAAGTCCTGGGCTGCGGTGGCGCCAGGTGGAAGTAGCGGGCGGACTTTGATGCTAACGGAGTTAAGCTAGTGGCTTTTTGTGTAAAGTTCTTCTCCAAGAAGGCAGCTCTGCAGGGTCTCTGTGTCCAGAGACTTTATATAACAGCAGTATGTGTTCACAGAGGTGCGTCAAACTTTTATTTTATTATTAGACGGTACTTGCGCATCGGCAAACATGCTAACTGCGCTACATGCTAGCTGCGCTAGTTTAGTCACTGGAGAATGACAACTCTGGCTGGAGGCATATGTTCACAGGCACACACAAAAAGACAAACTGTATTCTTAAGAGGAAAGGAAAGTGTCCGAGTCTAAGTTGTTATTTGTTATTGTTGAATGAAGATGATTTTTTTCAGTAAGCTAGGCCTACGATATATAATATATAATTAGGTTTGCACACCTGGTGTGCAATCCATGAATCTTGGTGCTGTAGCCTAGACTAGCCTAGCCGTGGCTGCTGTTGTCTCACCTCCTTTCAGATACGCTCTCTTTATTCAAGGCTAGGTTTAAAACAGTCCTCTTTAGTTTAGCATATGGCTAGGAAGGTAAGGCTCAGGGAAGGCTAAACTCCTCAGAGTGTCAGTCAAGCTGCATAGGGAGTCAGTTTGCTGGGAGAAGTATGGTTACTTGAGCACTATCCTCTCCTCCTTCCTACTTTATCTGTTTAGCATTATTAGGATTTGTAGTTTGTTCATTGCTATTCACCCGTTGTCCCATTGTCTGTTTCATGGTACGATGACGGGATCTCTGAGCCTGGCCTCCTCCATCTACACCTGCAGACTGCCCCGCCCGACCCGCCTGGGAGTGCTTCAGTCCTGCACCGGACCTGTCCACGTTCAGCGGCCACTGGTCCACGTCCTGTAGCTAGCTTAGGTCCTAGATCATTAGCCTGTCCGTCCGGAGGAGCGGATCCCTTTCTCATATGGGTCTCCCTCCCTGTGGGTTTCCCTAGTTCTCCCCAAGGTTTCTCACTTTTTCCCACTGGGTTTTTTAAGAGTTGTTCCTTGTCGATGCAGGAGGGTCTTGTTGGACAGTTAGTGTCCAACAGAAAGGATTGGTGATGATCAGGACACTTTAGCATTCTACAACATGTATGGACATTTTCTTCTGTGTGTGCTTTATATTTTTCATGTGTTTTTACTGTTGATTCTCTGACCTGTGTTGGTGATTTTAATGGTTTTGTTAAGTCCTCTGAGATGACTTCTGTTGTGACCTAGGGCTATACAAGAATAAATTGTATTGTATTGTATTGAATGTTCAACATAACTGTTGAATTCTAAATCCATCCATCCATCCATTTTCTTCCCCTTAATCCACTTCTGGGTCGGGGGGGTGGCAGTGAGAGCTGCACCCAGGACACAGAGCACCAGCCCCTCACTGATCCTCCTGCAGGTGGTGAGTCCACGGGAGCTGAGATCTTTCAGTTGGGGCTTTGGGCAAAGTAGGGTTAAGTGTCTTGCCCAAGGACACAACGACAGCAGTCATCAGTGGGAGTCTTGAAGTAGGTCTTACGGTGGGTTCGAACCCACGACCTTCAGGCCCAAAGGCCAATGCTCTACCAACTGAGCTACTGTGAATTCTAAATGTTAATTTGAATTATTTTTTGCTAGAAAAGCACTCTCTCTTTAGCTTAAAGCCCTTAAGTTTACATTGGTTACTGCGCACCGAGGACACAGGAGTGCGCTTTGGAGTAACGAGCGTGAGAGCTGAGAAATGAAGGAATGAGAAAGAAAGAATGAAAAGTATGGCGTACGAGCAGAGCGACCGGAGCCAGGCAGGATATAAATGTGTGTTGGTGTGTGTGTGTGTTCTAGCGATTAAATAAAGTCTGAAGTGTTATTGCCACAGCACCACACTGAGAGCGAGGGTCAGGACAGAAGGGAGACTGTTAGCATCAGGGAGCTTTCAAAAGCGCTGCGCTGGAGAAAAGAAAAATTGCCCTAAACCTCAAACTCGACTTAATAATTAAAATGGATTTATCGCCCAGCCCTACCATTTTAGGTGGATTTATTGTTATTATAAACAAATACAACACATATGTACACTGTGTATATGTTGTCATTTATCTTTCCACTCGAAAAACCAATTACAGAATAATATGGCATAATTTGACAATAGTTCAAAATGCAATTAATTGTGTTTTAAGCAATAATTAACTCAATTAAAAATTGTAATTGTTTGACCGCCCTAATAATATGATTACTAAGATTTAGCTCGTTTCCAGTATTCACCCACTGGCCACATACGGTATTGCAGGAAAAATTCTCATATGGTGAAGAGGAATTGTTCCCATACAAGAACCGCATATGTTTAAAAATATTCAAACCATTCATGAAGATCAAGATGTGTCCACTCACCATCAGAGCGATGCACCCACGTGACGAAGTGCTCCTGGTGACTGCTATACTGAATGACGGCTGTGACCGAGTAGTGCCTTTTCTTGAAGTTAAAATTATAAACTTGGATGTTGTTATCGGGAAGTCCCTCCACAAAGTGCAGCACGAACACAGGAGAAGCTCTGGTGAAAAAACAACAATATATTCACTTAAAGGTATTTGTTATATTAAAGGCACACCGCGGACTTTGTGACCTAAAGAGTTGACACATATGAGTTATTTTATATGAATACTTGGGCCAATATACAGCGCTTGACACTTGCAATGCTCCGAGCGGGGCTGCCCTCTTGAAATACCGCCCATGTAACTTTCGAGCAGACGGACCGTCTGCCACCAGGTCACGTGACTTGGAAGAAAGACTTGCTTTACGGCTACAGGCGCTGATATACTCATGGAGCTAAGGCTTTTGCTACTCATTTTTCACCTGCTCGACTCCTGGTCATGGCTGAGGCAAGGAAAAATTTTAAACCTTTGGAGGAGGCTAAAAAGAGGAAACGCGAAAGGGATCGTGCTGTAAGCTGCATGTCTGTATGAGCGCTGCTGTTCACCTGGTTCCTGGATGTCATCGACCGCAACGATGTCATTCCACGCAGCACGAGCTAGACGCAGAACTCCCTCATCCAGGATATAGAAGTCCATGTGTGGTAGATTACTAATGCAGCGGTCTGGAGGCTGACCACAGCAGAGTCTCTCAATATCTGTAGGCATGTCTCTACAGTTTGAACACACACACCAGTGCATGCTGTCTGAATACACACTCAAAAGACACCGGCTGACTGTTTGACTTTTGCGACAGTGCTGAGTTGCTTGTGGCCACTAGGGGCGCTAAACGTGAAAGTTGCAGGTCTAGCGCCCCTAGTGGCCAAGAGTTACACGGTGTGCCTTTAATGTAAATGCATAGGATCAGGAATGTCAAACTGTTGGTCTGAGGATGAATTTTTAACATTAATTTCTCCCATCTTCAACGTGTTTGGAACTCATTTTTGCATCTGTGGATGGAGCATGTGTCTGACACGTGTGCATCAAATTTAGGGATAGATACTTTGGAGAAATGCAGGTGTCTAGCAGCAGAAACACATCCATCCACACAAACACATATTTCCATGAGTGAGGAGGAGGTCCCAGACTCACCCCTGCAGCACCATCCTCCTGCGCTGGTTTTTCTGGTGGCAGTTGTTGCAGGGAGCGAGGTGAGACGCTCGGAGCGGATGCCAGTCAGGAACGATGTTTGTGAAACTGGGAAGAGTCTTCACAAGACTGAAGGGAAGACGTAGATTATGGATTATGACATGAACCATGGACAATATCAAAAAAAGCTTGGGAGCATTGGTTTGAAAGTTTCACTGTAAGATTGTAGTTTCTGCATGCACAGGAAACATGTTGATCGTACCATGTGCTGGGAAAGAACCAGGGTTGAGGAGGAAATATACAATTCCAAAATGGTAGGAGGGGAAGGTGTGTGTGTGTACGCTGATGTATGGGTGGGTGTACGTATGCAACTTTTTCTCCTTCAACCTCTTTAGTTTATTATTAGTATGGTTGTTAAAATTACACTTTTTTTCCATTTATTTATGTATTTATTTTTTAATTAATAGTATTATTTGTATGTAATAATTTCTTTACATTATAACTGTTGACTTGTTTTTGAATTATGACATTCTCTGACACCACTCCCCCCTCCCCTCGCCTCTCCACCAAACCAAACATCCAGCATTTTCATTTCTTTGTCACAACAGGGAGAGTGGGCGGCAAACGTGAAATTGGCATTTTCTGTTCAGTCCTTTTAGGTTTTAGAAAATCCGATAACTCCGGTGCACTTGCCAGAAACAGGAAGAGGTTGAAAGGGAGTAAACGCATCCCATTGGTTTATTTTTATCGGTCTGCTCCAAAATATTATTTATTAATTTTTGGAGACTGTAGGCATCTGGTCAATTCCATTACTATTTGAAAACACATGATGACTTGACTACTTTTAGGGTTTAGGGACGTTTTCCCTCAAAATAGGGGTGGGCGATATGGCCTAAAATTCATATTGCGGTATAATTTGGGTCACAGACGGTAGACTGTATATATTGCGGTATAATTTGGTGTGAATTTCAATATAGGTCTAGCAGGTTCTTGCATAAAACAGTCAAGATTGTTACTTATTTATATATTATAATCTAGTATATATATTTTTTGAGTTGTGAGACAAATAAAAAGACAAATGCTGTAACATACATTATTTATGTATGTTACAGTAAAGACCATTTACTGCAAAAGCAATTTAAAAAAAAGAAAAACATATGCATTCATTTAAAATATTAAAAAACTCACATATGTTGAAATCAAAGTCTGTAGCAGTTAGACATGGTCATTTTTTGTAGTGTGAGAGTTTTGTGCAGGTACATGGCTTCAGTAAAAGCTATTGTTCGTTTACAAAGCTGGTCTTGACATTTGTTGACGCTCCCCAAGCGCTTTTCTCTGCGCTTGCAGTGGACTGGATGATTCAATGGATTTATGTTCATTAAAACAGCACATTGGATTTGAACAATTGATGTAAATGATCATTTTGGCACAATAAATTTTGTTTAACAAAGTAGCTTTTGTGAGCTATTGACCGCGGAGGTCCGAATCTAACTTTCCCAAACTTCTGATGTGATGATGCTGCGGACACGGCACACGCATGGATCTATTTTGGCTCACGCTGGCGCTTCAAGCCTACGCCCCTTTGAGACCGATTGGCCAAAAGGTAGACGCTTTGTGATTGCTGTGTGTGTATTTAGCTCTGCTGGGGCCGCTGTGACAACAATACAGAGACAGAAACACGGTGTGAATGCCGTGCTGTTGTTCGCCGTTTCCAGTGGTGACTACTAGGTTAATAGTGCTAGGCTAATGCTACTGAATGCAGGTTTGTTTTGGTCCTTTCTGCTGGCGTCAGAGCCTGCACAATTTGATGACATAATGACCTATCGCAATATGCCGGTGTAACAAAAATCCCTACCGTGGGCCAAATTTATATCGCATACCGCTTATACTGTATATATCGCCCTACCACAATATTTTTAAAAATGCGTCTGGAAAAAAAAAAAAAAAAAATCACTGACTGCATCTTTAACCAGGTGGAACTGTTAAAAATGTCCTTACTTTTCTCTCGTGCTGCTTTTGCAAGAAGAGCATCTAAAATCCCAGCGGAACGAGGCCTGGAACGACGACTCCAGCCACGGATCCAACTTGAGTAAAAGCGGCAGAGCGAAAACCGGAGATTCTTTTTGTCCTGGAAGAAAAGAAAGTTGAAACCTGCTTTATTAAAATCACAGTGGCAGCTCCTTTATGTTTGAACTTCATAAAAAAGAACACTCCCTCCCTATTTTTAGTAAGAGTAATGCAGATCAAAAGGCGAGTGTTGATCATCAATACTTCAGTCTCACCGAGTTTGCATTGAAGCTTTGGCTGCAGCAGATCAAAGACCGACATGCGGAGCGTCTCCAGGGTCGTGTTGACGGTTTTTAACAGTTGACGCGGGACTTTCATGGAACCATCTAGAAAAAAAAGAACAAAGTTTGAGTTAAATTATCTGCAGTTGAGGACAAAATGACTGAAACAAGACCTCGTAGTGAGTTGATAAGACTCTTGGTTTGGACTTCTTCCATGGACAGAAAAACATGTCTCTTTTGTATTGTTTAATTATTTTTTTTTAAACCATGTGCAGAATTGAAGCCGTCATATTTAATTCAGTCCTACCTTCAGTGACTGGGAAGGTAAAGTCAAAACACAGATTCTCAGTCAAGCTGCATATGGAGACACTGTTGGAGAAGTAACCATCCTCTCCTACTTTATCTGTCAGTATGACGTCAGCTGTATTCTGTTCATTGCTGGGTTTCCCTAGTTCTCCAAGGTTTCTCACTTTTTCCCACTGGGTTTTTTAAGAGTTGTTCCTTGTCGATGCAGGAGGGTCTTGTTGGACAGTTAGTGTCCAACAGAAAGGATTGGTGATGATCAGGACACTTTAGCATTCTACAACATGTATGGACATTTTCTTCTGTGTGTGCTTTATATTCTTCATGTGTTTTAACTGTTGATTCTCTGACCTGTGTTGGTGATTTCAATGCTTTTGCTAAGTCCTCTGAGATGACTTCTGTTGTGACCTAGGGCTATACAAGAATAAATTGTATTGTATTGTTATTCAGCCGCTGTTCCTTTGTTTTATGGCGTGGTGATGGGACCACTGAACCAGGCCTCTTTGACCTGTACCTGTGAACCGGTCTCTCCCGGCCTGGACTCAAGCGCAGGACACCCCACGCCGCCTGGGAAGTTGGAACCGCTTCAGACCAATATGGAACGGACTCAATATGGGCCCCTGAGGGTTCTCACTTTTCCAACAGTTTTCTTTTGAGTTGTTCCTTGCTGATGCAGTAGGGTCTAAGTACAGTGATGATTACAATATAAGTGACCAAATTAAGCAAATCTATTAAAAAAACCCATTGACGTGCAATTTAAATAAAGAATACTTGCTTACTAGATTACATTAGAGCTGAAACGATTAATCTAATTACTCGAATAATTCGAATATTAAAAATATTCGTTTGATTTCCGCTGCCTCGATTATTCGTAGACGGTATTTTATTTGCGGCATTTTGCCTTGTTTGCTCCATAGACTTCTCACGTTTCGCACGGATTCTTTGTGTTGCGCAATATGTTTATGTCACGTGTCCTGCTCTACACAGCCCCGGGTCTGCGTGGTCCGCATGCATCACTAGCGTTTGTAAACCTTTTTCACGGACAAGGCAGGAGAGTTAATAAGAAGCGTCTAAAGTTCTTTTTGAACATTGAACAGGAGAAGTTAGCACACATTGCTAAGTGGAGCTAGCATCTCATGATAACACCAGTTTGATGCTGCAGCACCTGACGAGGAAGCATCGAGGGAAGACCCGAGACGAGGCAAGTCGACTTTCATGTTATGGTGTAAGGCACGCCGTGTGAAAGTAAAATGTTGATGATAACACGGAGAGGTCTTCCCGCGAACAGTCACACGCTGCCAAAGCGGCATGGTTGAAAACTATCAATGTAGCCGCTTGTAGCCTACATTAAGCCTTTCATTTGTTAGCGCAGTGATGAAGCAGGTTTATCAGTACCTACATAAGACATGTGTTATGAATGTTTTACTTAATTTGACATTCACTACAATCCTAGTGCCAACGGGTATTATACTACTCCACAAGTTATCTGAACTCTGTGTATAAATAATATGCCTGTATGAACAATATATAATTAATATATACAGTCTATGGTATGAACACTGAACCAAGATCCATCAGCAGTTACAGAACTGTAGGAATGAGGAGCACAAAGCACAAGAGATGTGATATAAAAACAAGTATAAAATGCTGTAGTGTAGTATTGTATAGTGCAGAAATTTATAGTTAGACACATGTGACATGTGGTTCTATATTACATGTGAGGTCAGCAGTGTAAAGTAGGACATATTGAATCTGGAAGAGGTGTGTGATTGACAATTAAGATCTGCTTTTCCCTGTCTTTCAGTGAACCCTCAGAGCCTGTTTAGGACCAGTTCCTTCTCCCTGCACCAGCAGCTGTTCTGACGGATAATATTTGAAATCTGCTGGTCAGAGACATGCCTCATCTGATTTTGTTCAATCTGGAAGGACTCAAAAATCAACCGTGGTACAGGTGCAATCGCCGATGCCTTGTTTTCATTTGATAATATGAATTCAATAAACTGTATACAATTTAAAACGGTTTGTTTATAGTATTTGTTTTCTCTCGATTACTCGATTAATCGATCAGTGTATTTGATAGAATAATTGATTACTAAAATATTCGATAGGTGCGGCTCTTGATTACATTAAAATGTATTATGAGCAAATTATATTGTTGCGTACTATATACATCTGGCTATTATTGGCCACAGTGTTTCCCACACATAGGCGAATCTGTAGCGCACCGCCACAGATTCGAAACAGTCCGCCACAGATTGCGTCTGGTTTTTTTTCTATTATTTTTATATTTAACACTATTGAAAACACGAAGCGTATTCGTTCCGCTGTATGTTTTTTCCCCCTGCTCTCCGCATGTCTCTCTGTCACCCACGCAACTCTCACTGCTCACACACACGGCCCCTCCCCTCCTTGCACACCGCGTATGACTCCATGAAAATGTCATCCTTGGAAGCGTGGCCTATTTGGTGTAGAGAAGACTCCTAGCAAACACGCAATTTCTCCTTTCTTAGAAAGTTAATTAGAGTTGCAAGTTTGGGGTAAAATGTAGTTTGGTTGTCCGCGCAATGTTCCCTAAGCAGCGCGCGCGCGCAAAAGCGCCCGACACAGAAATCTGAAGCTGCGTTTGATCCAGAACACGGCTCGGACCAACAGCACCCTGCACACCGTGAACTCGCTCACTGTCTTGCCGTGGACTTGCGAGTGGTGTCTCACGAGCACTACACCAGCGGCAGTGTGTGTCTCTCACAGTTGAAGTGTACCTATGATGAAAATTACAGACCTCTGTCATTATTCTAAGTGGGAGAACTTGCACAATCGGTGGCTGACAAAATACTTTTTTGCCCCACTGTGTGTGTGTGTGCATGTGTATATATACACAGTACCTCGCGAAAGTATTTGGCCCCCTTGAACCTTTCAACATTTTGCCAACATTTCAGGCTTCAAACATAAAGATATCAAATTTTAATTTTTTGTCATGAATCAACTACAAGTGGGACACATTCGTGAAGTCGAACAAAATGTATTGGATAATTTTAACTTTAACAAATAAAAAACTGAAATGTGGGGCGTGCAATATTATTCGGCCCCTTTACTTTCAGTGCAGCAAACTCAGTCCAGAAGTTCAGTGAGGATCTTTGAATGATCCAATGTTGTCCTAAATGACTGATGATAAATAGAATGCACCTGTGTGTAATCAAGTCTCCCTATAAATGCACCTGCTCTTTGATAGTCTCAGGGTTCTGTTTAAAGCGCATAGAGAACCATGAAGACAAAGGAACACACCAGGCAGGTCCGAGATACTGTTGTGGAGAAGTTTAAAGCTGGATTTGGATACAAAAAGATTTCCCAAGCTTTAAACATCTCAAGGAGCACTGTGCAAGCAATTATATTGAAATGGAAGGAGTATCAGACCACTGCAAATCTACCAAGACCCGGCCGTCCCTCCAAACTTTCATCTCAAACAAGGAGAAGACTGATCAGAGATGCAGCCAAGAGGCCCATGATCACTCTGTATGAACTGCAGATAACTACAGCTGAGGTGGGAGAGTCTGTCCATAGGACAACAATCAGTCGTGCACTGTACAAATCTTACCTTTATGGAAGAGTGGCAAGAAGAAAGCCATTTCTCAAAGATATCCATAAAAAGTCTTGTTTAAAGTTTGCCACAAGCCACCTGGGAGACACACCAAACATGTGGAAGAAGGTGCTCTGGTCAGATGAAACCAAAATCGAACTTTTTGGCCACAATGCAAAACGATATGTTTGGCGTAAAAGCAACACAGCTCATCACCCTGAACACACCATCCCCACTGTCAAACATGGTGGTGGCAGCATCATGGTTTGGGCCTGCTTTTCTTCAGCAGGGACAGGGAAGATGGCTAAAATTGATGGGAAGATGGATGGAGCCAAATACAGGACCATTCTGGAAGAAAACCTGTTGGAGTCTGCAAAAGACCTGAGACAGGGACGGAGATTTATCTTCCAACAGGACAATGATCCAAAACATAAAGCCAAATCTACAATGGAATGGTTCACAAATAGACGTATCCAGGTGTTAGAATGGCCAAATCAAAGTCCAGACCTGAATCCAATCGAGAATCTGTGGAAAGAGCTGAAGACTGCTGTTCACAAACGCTCTCCATCCAACCTCACTGAGCTCGAGCTATTTTGCAAGGAAGAATGGGCAAGAATTCCAGTCTCTCGATGTGAAAAACTGATAGAGACATACCCCAAGCGTCTTGCAGCTGTAATTGCAGCAAAAGGTGGCGCTACAAAGTATTAGCGCAAGGGGGCCAAATAATATTGCACGCCCCACTTTTCAGTATTTTATTTGTTAAAAAAGTTTAAATAATCCAATACATTTTGTTCCACTTCACGATTGTGTCCCACTTGTTGTTGATTCTTGACAAAAAAATTAATTTTTATGTCTTTATGTTTGAAGCCTGAAATGTGGCGAAATGTTGAAAGGTTCAAGGGGGGCGAACACTTTCGCAAGGCTGTGTGTGTGTGTGCGTGTATGTGTATGTGTATGTGTATGTGTATGTGTATATATATATATATATATATATATATATATATCCCTAAATCAAAACAGCAGTTGTCTCGGACTGTCGAATCTCCAACAGCAGATCAGAGAATATAACAGTCGAAACACAGGTAATGCAATAATATTAAACACATAGGTATGGAGGACCAAAAATGACTAAAGTATAAATAAATAAATAAATACAGGAATATATTAATAAATACATTCATTTTGGACAATAAAAACTAAATATTTACATTGATGTGTTAAATATTACTATGAAATCAAATAAATATACTTTTATTTAGGTTATTTATCAAAATCTAAATTTTTTCCTTTAATTATTTATCCATTTATTGCATATATTTATGTATTTCTACATTTCTTCATTTATTTATGTATTTCTACATTTCTTCATTTATTTATGTATTTCTACATTTCTTCATTTATTTATTTATGTATTTCTACATTTCTTCATTTATTTATTTATGTATATCTACATTTCTTCATTTATTTATTTATGTATTTCTACATTTCTTCATTTATTTATTTATGTATTTCTGTGTTGCCGTATGCTAATTAGGCGGGCGGTGCTGAACTCAATCTAGAACAGGATTGGTGGGCAGTAGGTCAGCCAGGGCAACCAGACAGAAGCAAAGTTAAGCCTAGCGTACATCGACAGAGAAACTGGAGACAAGTTGCAAGGCGGCTTTTGGCAACTGAGAGGAGATGATGGAGATGATCAGTTGAAATCGGTCGATGTGCGTGCTCTTACAACTGGAGATGAACAGTCGGTCTCCAGTTTCAGTCAGTTGCCCGTGTTCTACTTTTCGGCGACTAGTTGTCCTCAGTTTTCGAGATATGACCCGATGTGCGCGCTCCATGCGCCGCTCCGACAACGTGTGTGTATTGCGTGTATTGCGAGCCCGCAACAGTTTATGTCAGAAAACACACTGTAGTTGAGGCCAGTTGCTGTCGATGTACGCGCTGTTATTCCCGAGACTGGTCTGCTACTGGGAGTTGCCCGTTTGTCAGATTGTCGATGTGTGCAGGGCAGCAACTCATATGCGACGGATATAATCAGTTGCCAGTCCGATGTACGCTAGGCTTTAGCCTTCTCGGTTTGTGAGAGGATGTGAAGCTGCTGTATAGCTTGTTGAAGAGCGTCCAGCACAGTTGCATCAAAGTCTACCTCTGGGTCAGCACTGTGATGAACTAAAACATTTAATAGTCTTTCCAGCCGAAAGAGTAGATAGTCCTCAGGTGCATTATGCTCAACATCATTAACATCATTTGCTAATGCTCTTAATTGATGAGCAATGGCTCCTAAAAAACTTACATTCGAAACTGCCATCATACCACACAAAAGTGCACAGAGGATCTCTAGCTAGCTAACAGAGTACCGTAATGTGAGGCAGTAATGATCGAGACCAGAGTTCACGCAATCCTAACCAATCCTGTTCTAGATTGAGTTCAGCACCGCCCACCTAATTAGCATACAGGAACACAAAAATATATAAATGAAGAAATGTAGCGACACAGAAATACATAAATAAATAAATGAAGAAATGTAGAAATACATAAATAAATAAATGAAGAAATGTAGAAATACATAAATAAATGAAGAAATGCAGCGACACAGAAATACATAAATAAATGAAGAAATGTAGAAATACATAAATAAATATATGCAATAAATGGATAAATAAATAAAGGAAAAAATGTAGATTTTGATAAATAACCTAAATAAAAGTATATTTATTTGATTTCAGAGTAATATTTAGCATATCAATGTAAATATTTAGTTTTTATTGTCCAAAATGAATGTATTTATTAATATACTCCTGTATTTATTTATTTATTTATACTTTAGTCATTTTTGGTCCTCCATACATAGGAGCCATTGGTCCATAGGTAGAGGAATGACCGATGTTCATAGATGTCTCTTAATATCCTATATCACTCTCTTTGGACCCTCTGCGTCAGCAAAAAGTCTAATAAACTGCCAGACAAATGTACAACTTTGTAAATGCAAAAATATATTGAATTGAATTACCTTTGTCCGGCTGTTGTTGACTCTGGATGGCTGCATTTGCCTCATCACAGGTTGACAAAACTCTCCACACTGGTGACTGTTGTGGCTCAGCTGGAGGTTTTAAGTTCCTCAGACTCTTTAAATTCACCAGCGCTACAAGCAGAGAGTCCAACCAGCAAAGGTTCTTCTTATTTCTCCAGAAAATCTCAACTGGAGCTGGAACAAGCTTCTCCTCAGGGGATATGTCCTTGATTTCTGAATTAACTACATAATCCGTAAGTGCCACAGTGTTCTCTGCAGACAACATGGGCTCAATTGTTGCTTCTGTCTGCGCAGGTGGAGGAGAGACATCCCCGTCTGGTAAACTGGAGATTCCATCCAGAGAGACAGTGTTTGTACAGTGGTTTTCTCCATCTCGCTCGCTGCCTTGAGAGGACTCTTCCTGACTGTCAATGGTGTGCAAGGTTTTTGAAGCGTTTTCTACTTTGTCAGCTTTGTCCAAGGAAATGTTCTGAGCATCTGTACAGGAATCCAAATTATTTCCAAGAATACGACTGTTTAGTTGAAATTCCAATGGTCGTGTTTCACAAGCGTCTAAAGGTCCTTCACGAGGATCGACAACAGATGTGTGTAGGCTGCCATCTGTCGGGGAACTTGTTTTTGACAAGTCATCTTCTAATGACAGCCGCTTTGGAGACGAGGGACTGGGTTTATCGTCTACAAGTGTTAGTGGCTTATTCCTGTCGTCTTCAGTCGCTGGTTCCACTAAGACCAAGCTGGACAAAACATCCTCCAGAGGACGACTGACCAACGGGAACAGGCACTGGAAGGAAATAGAAACATTAAGATGAGCAAGAAGACCTCGCAGAAAGACAAAAGGACAACACTGGTTCTACCTGAGGATTTGTGCAAAGTGTGATGGACTCTTCTAAGTTTATGCGATAGGAGCGCAGAGGATAAGTCAGACCTTTGGAACAGCACCAGGGACATTGGTCCAGGGACGCGGCTCTTTCTTGAACCTAAGAAAATAAAGACAATTTAAATGATGCAGACATAGTTACAAATAAACCTAAGAATAACAAACAGATTGTACAGACAAAACAAATAAAGGGCTTTGGAGCCCAAACCTTTCGCCTTTTACTAAAGATTTCCGTTTTTGATAATTTGGATTGGCACTGCTTCAGCACAGTATCTTTCAAATGTAATTCAGCTTTGCGCAAGTGACATCAGGAGAGGATTGAAGAAGTTGTACTGACTTTTCCCAAATACCCCACCATCGGCGAGGCTACAGCCTCCAAACCAGTGTCTTCGCCAGCCATTGACAAACCACAGGTGCTTCTTGGGATGACAGGAGACAGAAGCCAATCCGTGAATATTACCATGACACCACCTACAGGGCTGAAGAACAACAATTCAACATTAATCGTACAGAATATTCATCAGACCATAAATGTATACTGGCCATTAGTTTCAGACAAAAAAACACACACAACACGTTCATTATATGTTAACATGAGGTGGTGGTCAGTGAATGAGGTCCAGCTACACGAGCAAACCCCGGGAATGGATAAAACGTAATCAAAAGTAATCATAATAAATACAGCATTAGAATACTTTTGTAAACACCGTAGTAAATAAACCAATCACACAGAGTCCAGAGGGTTTCACAAATAATAGATCCATGAGTTCAGACAGGATTAGCTTTAGCTTTAGCTCACACGTGTGGACGCGCGGCTCGCTGCATAACTGCATGAACTCGCACTCACCAAACTCCACCACGGACATGACCCACTCCGCGCTCCTGTTTAAGTACTTTTTTCTCTCTGGTCTCTGGAAGCTCTCTCTTAAATCCATGAGCGAGGTAGAACATGCAGTGAACCCATTTCGTGTGAGAATCGTCGACTGCCGGTCGTGGTGCATCGATTTGAGATTTCCCCCGGAACCAACGCTATTGTGCGCAAAGGTTCCGCTCAGCTGTTGCCCCCTGTCGGTCTGTGGGTGCAGCGCAGACATCAAGCTGCTATTGTTCATGTGGCACCACCAGCAATGACTGTGTAAAATTCATGAAATGACTTTACATAGGAAATAGAAGTATTTATGGTCGCGTGAGATTTTCAGGTCATAAACTCCTAATGATTAATTATAACTATTAATTAGACGTTATAATCCAATCAAATGTATGCAAATGACCTTAGTTAATACAAAAGCTATAGTCCCTTGTACAGGTACTGCTAATGAACCTGTAATGTAATGTATGGCAATGTACATTTGTCTGTATGGCAATAAACATTTAAACCCAAGAGGAAAATTTGCTAATTAAAACAAATTACCATTGTTGTACAATTAAAATACGCTATTATCAATGTACTGTATTGAAGCAACTGATTCAAACATGGAAACATTATTGACAAGACAAAATATAGCCATGGGTAAAGTATATGTAATAAAATTCAGTCATTATCCATATGTCCTAAATTTACAATCAATTATCAATAAGAATAGGTATCATAACATAATGGTGCCATTACTGTGCATTTTATTCTATGACCACAAAAATAAAATCTAACAAAAGAACATTGTTGAATATTGTGTATTAATTTAGCTGTAGTTCATTTATTTAAGCCTTTTACAGTTATTTTTGCCTTCCCATTATTAGGGTGGGGCTGTTGAAGGGGGAGGGATTGGGGTTACATATGTCACTCGCATTCTTACTACACACAGCGTTCACACCTCTCCATACACCCCCACCCAGCACATGCAGACGTGCTCGTGTCTCCTCCCGCCTTCGCCTGTGCCCTCCTCCCAGAAGCCCCTCCTTATCTGCTCCTCTCCTGTCCTCTATTTTTCTCCTGATGACAAAATGAATTTGCATATTTTTCCCAGGGAGCACTCATTAGAATGCATAAACTGGCCGTCTGAGAGCATCACTGAGCTTCTATGGCTTTCTGCTGCTGTTTCCCTGATGCAAAGAAGACAACAGGACCGGGGCCTGTGTCTGTGATTGGCGTTTGGATCACTTCAGTGTTTTAATCAGGCATTGGAAGAAAAGAAAAAAACCCGTCAGCCATTTTCCTTTGTTTCTATTTGAGCTCACGACTCCTGCATGTATTTGATATGTGTTTTTAATTGGATAGTCTTGATATTGGGAGTCACATCACAGATAGAGAGTACTACTGTAGAATACATTACGTTACAATTCGCAAATGAGCCTCATAAAAGTCACATGAAGCAGCCAGGCAGGACATTTCAATGAGTTGAAATAGTTTCAACATATTTTGATGCAGAAAGTTGTCAAGTAATTTTTGTCACATACATTCCTATGCTTAGAAATGACACTGATGACTTCATTGTAGTACGTGGACTGACCTGGTGGTGGCGCTATACGGGACACATGATGGAGGCTTAGATAAGTCTCTGCTAATATGGCTATTGCTGGGAGTATATACAAGAGATCTCATGTAATCCACACTGTAACTTTCGGTCCATGAAGCAGAATCAGGACTCGGGACTGTGCTGTGATAGGAGCCTCTTCCTCCTCATCCTCCTCTTCCTCTTCTTTCTCGTCTTCCTCCTCATCCTCGTCTTCCTCTTCTTTCTCATCTTCCTCCTCATCCTCCTCTTCCTCTTCTTTCTCGTCTTCCTCCTCATCCTCTCCCTCCTCCTCTTCTTACGGGACAGTGATGTGATGCAGATCTCACCGGATCAAATACTGTAGATTCTCCTATAACACACGAGATAGCAATTAGCATAACACAACAATAACATGAAATGCTATATTTTTAACTAAAGCTGTTCTGGACACATGGTATTAGTCCACTCTGTACACAGAGGTGAGAAACTTCTATGGTAGCCGCAGCTGTCCTGGGGCAGACTGATGGAACCATGGCTGCCAATCTGTGCCATCAGCCCCTTCCAGCCTCCACAGATCACACATCCATGCACTCAAACTATATTTGTGGGTTACATGTCTTGCATCAGCAGCTGCCCCACTGTGGCTCCTTGTGCTTTTAGAGGTCACCCATCACATCACTGACCAGACCCTGTCCTGCTTAGCATCTGTAGTGTGTAGGGATCAGGTTTTGACATGCGGGTGTAGCCACAATCATAGATCTATTTCAAAATATGTGATTTGTGTAATTTTTGCTCTTAATTTTCTTTATTAAAGGAAATAATTAATTCATGACTTTTCAATATTCTCTCTTTGTGACCGATAAATATAATTATAACTAAGGATAATTTTAGTTATTAGTTCTCTATCCAAATACTTTTGATTAATCGCGTATTCATATTCTAATTTTGCTGAAGCAATCCCTAAATTTAGATTAGACATGAGACTAATGTAAATATAAATGTAAACAAATGAGTTTCTGAGTGAAATCACATGTTTTGTTTGAACTACTTATGTGTATCTTTTTTGTGATAAACAATGCGTAAACTAAGATTAAAGTTATTATAAACATATTAAGTCAAGGGACATATTATCGTCGTGTGTCGGACTGATCCCAGTGAAACAGATACTCCATCAGGTCTCATATCTGTATTTTGTTTGTTTCTGTCTCTTTTAATGTCACTTTATAACATTACAATATATATAGACATCTACATATAATGATACATATTTATTGCCAATTATTATCAAGCATTTACATCAACTTATCTGTTGTATATGTGTATTTAGTATATGTACATGTGTGCTCTATACTGTCCTGTAAGTGCGCTGCAACATTGGAATTTCCCCCCATGTGGGACAAATAAAAGTCTGTGTGTGCACATGGCTAATGTATGCTAAGCAGTAATCTACATAAAAAGCATAAAAGTTCACATAAAACGAGGCATGTATACCTTACCTCTGTGTATTGCATATGTCTACTCCACATATGTGTGCTGCAACACTGGAATTTGTCCACTGTGGGACATATAAAGCCTTTCTTATCTAATATCATACAATAAATAAATAACTCGAACAACCAGGATATCGCCACAATATTGGGAAACGCATTTATTTTCATTCATATTCTGTCATTATATATATGTTAAATCGCTATTATAGCTAAAGCTACAAACTCAGTGAAATACTTTGAAGAAATACCTGTTTAAATATAACTGTGGAGAATGAGACAAAGGGGGTGGTCAGGCTTCCATACCAGCTATAGTTTATCAATACAAATAACAAAACAAAATATATAATTAAATATATCATCATGACATATACTTAAAGTAAAGTACATACTTCATATATGACTTATCAAATGCTGTTGCTTGAGGAATTATCAGCAAAACCCCTGCATAAAAATCATAAACACACATTGTCCTACTATTGTTATAATTGCAGTGATTATATAAGTGTGTGTTTTTGTATGTCAACTATATTCGTGGCGTGTGCAATTGTTATTCTGTGAATTTTAAGATTTATGGCCCAGACAAAACCACGCATTGAAATGAATGGGGCCAGACTGGACCAGCTGTTTACATTTCAAACTCAGCGCATGTAATAAATAATGCCATTATGTACTTAATGAGGTCAATATATATCATAAATATGTACGTACATACTCACATGTGACTCTATATTTTTTGTTTTGAGTGTGTATTAGTTTGCATGTGTCTGTGTATATGCATGAGTGGCTAATATATGCTAACCTGTAACAATATAAAAAGCCTAAAACTTCATATCCAGTGATCCAGCTTCTTATCTCTGTATATTGTATGTATCTTTTGCATATGCGTCTGTCTGCTTTCACTCCAGCCCCTGTATGTGCACTGCAACACTGAAATTTCCCCACTGTCTGACCAATAAGGCTTCTCCTATCCTATCTTATACAGGGCTTAATAAATAAATAATTAACCAAACAATTAGGATATGGCCACAAAATTCAGTAACGCATTAATTCTGATTATTGACAACCACACTGCGTCAGTATGTTTACATTTCGATATACAATGACTTTGCATGGGGCTGTATAGACACAATGGAAGTGTGTGTGTAGTGTATGGGTAATGTATGTTTACCTTAGAGATGGAAAAAAAAGCCTATAAAAGTTAATTTAATGCAACCCCGGCTTGGATTCGCAACAGCTAAGCGCGCGTTGTGTCAATTACGTGTAAATTAGCTTATGTCAATACGTGTTAATTGTGCAAATAGGATGAGAGGGATTGAAGTAGATGCACAATAGTGTTTGAGAATTGCATAGAGTGGAGTCCGTGTCTTTGCAGCGCGCGTCTCTATGCGCTCCTCAGGTTTGCGCGTCTCTCCTCTCATTCAACTCTGTACAGTACACCCAGCTCCACGCACTCGATTCAATACTATACACAGCTCACACACTTCTCTGTGAGCTCCAAGCACGCTGCCACAGTCTCTTGTTTTTGTATCCGCCCGCCTCAGAACTCTCCGGTGACGTTTCCAGGCGCGCAGCCACTCGCCCGTCGTCTTCTATTAGGACAATGAAAAGCGCGCGTCCAATCCCGAGTGCCTCAGCCCGAGAAGCGACCAATGGAAAGAGGCTCAGGCAGAGTAATGTTAGAGAGCTGAAGACTGAAGACACTGCGTATCCCTGTGTTCCTCACTCAGCCATTGCGGAGCATTGAGATCCAGCGTTGAGCCACTATCGGTGAGTATGATTTAGAAGTGTCTAAAATTTGCGAAAACGACCATAACATTCAAAGATACTGCCACAGACTCGTCTATCTGTGTCCTGTGTAATATGTTTGAGTGTTTTTTGACATTTTAACCGAGCTGATCCGTCATAAACAACCAAAACAGCCGGTTGCGTTATTACTCAGGCAATGAGTAAGGACCAGACGCTCCGAGAAAATTGATGAAATAAAAATTAACCGCTCGCGTTTTTGGAGGAAATGGAGGATTTTGGCCCAAAGGAAAAATTCTATAAAATACATTCGTGTTGTGGGTGAAATATGAAGTGTCTGCGTGGGTTCGTTACGCCGTGAAAAATCGCGGATGTCTAGCGGACAGCTCCCGTTAGCGACAATGGTAAAGACTCGCCGTTAGCCATTGCAGTGTAAAGCTGGATGCCTGTCATGTAGACCGGGAGGCGTGCGAGTCAGAAAGAAAATGTCAAAAAATCCCCAAAACACAGGAAAAAGAAAGAGCACGTCAAACCACGCACAGATATATGCCTGGTCTTTAAATTGCGTCTCATGAGTCTGAGCAAAAAATCTTCTTGTGTCTGCGCGTTACTGTAATGGCTGCTGTATTCGCATTGGAAACAAGGCGAGCGAGGCAAATGGCAAGAGGCGCAGTTCGGATCAACTTTTTCTAACCTGCTTTTCTCGCCAAACAAACCCGTAACTGTGCAAAGTAACGACGGCAAAAGAAAATTCAATCTTTCATCTTTCCAACAAGACCATTTTGAGATTTTTCCGATGTGATTTAAGGGTGTAAATAGGGGTTGGAAGTGAGGCAGTCTCCCCACGGTCGCTCTGCCCTCTATCGCATGCAGCGCGTTGACACAAAGAGAAGGAGCCATATTCTCCATGTTAGTGGATGAAGACGAGCGGCCATTAGGAGCTCATAGGAACCCAGTCACAGCAGCGGCTCCATAGACACAGCACAGACCCAATGTATTACTATACGAGACGGCCAGTGCAATAGGAATCAAGCGGGGAAAGATTTTGGTGTGTTTGCAAGGCGCTTTGGACGAGGTTGTCGTGTTGCAAAACGAACACAGAGACGGGCGGAGACATTTGAGGGGGACTTTCTTTCATGAGGAAGGCATTCTCACAAAATGGAAGAAGAAATATTGCCGTCGTTGTTGACCTCCTTTCCCTTACAACCAGCCTATGCGCCATTACTATGGTCTCCACACACGGGCTCTGGCACTTACATAGGGCTTAATAGCGATATGTTATAAGGCAAAAATACGAGTTTATACACAATAAGCAAATCTTTTTCCAACTGTTGGCAAAGCATATAGGAGTGTGTATCAGTAGCACAGGAGTATATTTGACATGGTATAGTCGCCATACGTGTCGCATTTGGAATAAAAACCTGATTTTTGTGTTTTTGTCTAAAAGTTGTTCTGGTGTTATGTACATTGTCAACTATGAATAAAAACATTTGCAAGTTGTCTTTTCTTGTCACACATGAGGTTTAAGGCGACATTATGTGGATTTTTAGACAAAGCATTTTTATGATAGGTTGAAGTTATGGATAGTGGGAGCGGAGCAGAGGAGCGCGCCTGTCTCCATACAAGATATGTAGTAATACTATACATCTATACCATATACATTTTTTACATACATAGATATATTTAAATACGTTTTGTTTATGGTAGATGAACAGGCACCTTTACGTAATATTTGAACAGCTGTCAAAAGCTTGTAGGGCATATAAGTGTAGCATTTTGGACTTTTTAGCGTCTTTTTTCAGGATGCCATATTGGGAAGTTAGGAGGGAGAGACAGTGGTCGGAGGAGATGCAAGAGCAGCAGCAGCGACTGATAGTGGAGTAACGCAATTAATACAATAGATGGAGCCAAATTATACATTACAACACGCCCAGGTTATTGTTATATATGCAAATTCTTGGGTATTGTGACTGTAATGAAAATCATAGATTTTTGTCGTCTTTCGGATGTCATGGTAATTGATGTGCGTGTTTTAGGTAGTTTTTTTTTTTTTTTTCTTAGATCCAGTTGCCAAGATGGGGAAGGATCCGACTAAGCCCAGGGGGAAGATGTCCTCCTATGCTTATTTTGTTCAAACTTGCCGAGAAGAGCACAAGAAGAAGCACCCGGACGCTTCTGTCAACTTTGCAGAGTTCTCCAAGAAATGCTCTGAGCGGTGGAAGGTAAGGACTAAGATTAGTGAAGATATATATATATATATATATATATATATATATATATATATATATATATATATATATATATATAATATGATCACCATAGCCCCCACCATTACATATATATATATATATATATATATATATATATATATATATAGTTAAAATAAAATTAAAATAACACGTCAGAGATAATAAAAATATACTAATAAAATATAAAACAAATATTAGTTAAAGAAAGTGAATAAATGATACATTAATAAATACATAATAAATAAATAATAAAAACATAAAAGAATGAATAATAATGAAATAAAAAAGAAAGAGGAGGACCCAAAACATTCAAGAATGTCAAAAATACAAATTCAATAATGATGATAATAGATGAAAGCCCAGGAGAAAACAAACACAAAATCTAAAGGAACCAGGAAAAGGAAGGAACAGGACAGACATAGACAAAAAAAACAATGAACCAGCAACAAGGGGGAGAGGAGCACAGGTACAGATAACACAGGTGAAACACATTAGGGCGGGGCATCAGGGCGAAGCAGCCAACACAGGGGAACAGGAAGTCAGGCTATACCAAAACCACAGAAGTCAAAATAAAAGCATTTACAAAACCCAAATCCACACCATGAAAAAAACACTAAAATCATTAAAAATCAAATATTTATGAAAATAACAAAAATCTAAATGAAGTCATTGACATATTTGTCTCAGACCCTCTTTTTGACTGGGGATTACAGGAGAACAAAAATAGCTAAAAACAAACTTATTTTTTCTGATGAAAGTAGACAATCCAGTCTTTCAGAATCTGGTTTCATATTTTACATAGTCTGAGGAAATAATATTCTGTGGGTCTTGAGAATCAGTGAAATCATCAAAAACGGCTGGTAGTCAATGAGTTCATGTAAATAAAAAGGACCAACTGTGTTAAAAGCCAGAGCATAAAAATGGGTTTAAAACACAGAAGTTGCAGTTTGAATATGGAATGAATACACATACAAATATAAAATACAATACTGCTAAGTAAGTAATGTCTATTTATATAGCACATTTTACAGACCAAGGTCACCCAAAGACTATTGATGCATTTATATTTATTTTATTGAAGTTTCATTGTTATATGATGATATTTTGACCTGGATATCTTATTGAGGAAAAGACAGAAATAAAAAAATAAAAATCCATATTGTATTTCTTGTATGATTTATATCTAAAAATCTTTGTTTTTTTAGCACACCCTTATTAATAACCAATTCAAACACCTTTCCTACAATCTGTCACGAATTCAAAATCTCGTGTTAAGAATCCTATTAAAGGAGGTTGTTGTAAATGACCCTAACTGCCCACTTCCAGACGATGTCCTCCAAGGAGAAGGGGAAGTTCGAGGACATGGCCAAACAGGACAAGGTTCGCTACGAGCGCGAGATGATGAACTACGTCCCACCCAAGGGCAGCAAGAAGAAGAAGTTCAAGGACCCCAACGCCCCCAAGAGACCCCCGTGAGTTCCACCAGACCCCATCAAGTCCTCGTCCCGACACTTGCAAAAAGTCATGAAAAATACGTTAAAAATCGCTCAAATTTGGAAAAATGTAGCTTAATCTGAGCACATTCTGACTTTGTTAAAACAAGATTTGCCAACGGGACTAACAAAAGGATCTTGTTTGAAAAAGATACAAGAAATGTCTCCCTTGGTCCCTGAAATAAGACTAAATTGCTTTTTCCCGTTGGCAAATCTTGTTTTAACACAGTCAGAATGAACTCAAATTAACTTAAAAAAAAACACTCAATTCAAGAAATTACTACCTCATATTTTATCGTTTTTTGCAGTGCATCAAAACATCATATTAGGTTTTTTGATTTGAACCTGCACAACACATTTCCGCTGCTTGACTTTACAATTTTTAACAGAAGTCTCAAAAGGGCAACGAATGGAATTGAACTGATCCGATCAAAGAGTAAGAAGCCGTCTTTCCATTCTAAGTGAAAGAGAGAAGAGAGAAAGTTGCGGAAAAGTTGCGTGCAAGAGGTAAAGCCAGGTAGAAAATGTAACACAAAATGATAATAGAATAATAGTTATTCGCTCAATCTATGTCCTCAACACATATTTCTATATATGTGTAAGCTAATGTGGAGCCAATTTCCTTTCATGGGCATTTATTCCGACGGCATTAGCCTTGCACCGTAGCAAGGGCTAGGGTGGTTGCTAAGGTGAGCAAGAGTTTCCTTGGCCCCAAAAGTTGGAGAAAAACTTCCTGATTGGGCTTCTGTGAGCTAACACGTTAGCATTGTCCATCTATATAAAGTCTATGTGACAAATCTATGACGTAATGAAAAGAGCCTCTTAAAGCAAAAGTATTAGTTTTTTATAAGTTTGGGTACATTCTCCAATCATCTACAACTAGAAATGTCAAAGGACATCGCACCATGTTTGATGTTTAGTATAATAGCAATTTTATTCCCTACTTCTTTTACTAGAAGGGTCTTTCACTCTTTATCCAATAGACATACATTTTAAAGCATTAAATTCCAATGTAAATATTCTTAAAGGCCAAAATGGACAGAAAAAATTGCAACACAAATAGTTAAAATTGTTAACAAAATCTTTCGCAGATCCGCCTTCTTCATCTTCTGCGCGGAGTTCCGTCCCAAAGTGAAGGGTGAGAGTCCGGGGCTGACGATCGGCGACGTGGCCAAGAAGCTGGGAGAGATGTGGAACGGCACCGCGGCCGAGGACAAGCAGCCGTACGAGAAGAAGGCCCTGAAGCTGAAGGAGAAATACGAGAAGGTGAGGGGAGGCCACCCCCAATGCGAGCAACATCACAGTTAAAAATCGGCCAGGATTTCTTAAAAATTATAATAATAAAAATGCATCGGTTTTATATAGCACTTTTTTGGACACTCAATGACGCTGTCATTATTCACTCGCTCCATACACGGTGACAGTTAAATACTAGCGTAGCCACAGCTGCCCTGGGGAACAGTGACAGAAGCGAGGCAACCAGTATGTGCCATTGCTCCCTCCCACCACCACCAACCATTCACACACACACCAGACTTATTCTAGACAATGTGTGAAATGTCTTGCTTAAGGACACAATAGCAATTTAGCACTTTACAGCCGCCCCACTGTGATGGTGTCCAGGAAAATCCTACTTAGATTTGAGAGTCTTGGCCCCAGACATTGTCCATGTTTTTTTGTGATTGGTGAAACCGGAGCACTTGGAGGAAACCTGCGCGGACACAGGGAGAACTTGCAAACTCCACTCAGAAAGGCTGTGTATTTTCCTGTGAACAGCTACAGTATATGTAGGAAGTGGTTGATATTAGTAATAATGGTACCACAAGAGTCTGAGCTGAGTTTATGAATTGTTTAATATTTTATTTTTGATACTTTTGAGAGTTCTAGAACAGTTTTGACCCCGTTCATAGCGAGTTTGATCCTCTTTTTCACTCTTTCCGTTGTTCTTTTTTGTTTTTGCTCAGGACGTGGCCGCTTACCGCGCTAAGGGCAAAACCGGCAGCCCTCCTCCGGCCAAAGCCCCCAAGATGGAGAAGAAGGAGGAGGACGACGATGACGAGGACGAAGAGGACGAAGAGGACGAGGAGGACGAAGAGGACGACTAGATGAGCCTCCTTTTGTTTATAAAGCATTTACCCACAGCGGTCACAACACTTAAGCCCCAATCGCATTCGAGAATAACACCAGAGAGGTCTATTCCCATAAACATTAGATCCAGAACATTCCCTGGACTTTTCTCATCACAGAAACTGGAACTTTGCTGGTATGTGTCTCTGAATTAACCAAATAAATCAGAATTAACTGAATTTGAACTGCAAAAATTGCTTGAGTTAGGATGAAAATGCCTTTAAGATTTGAAACAGCAAAAATGTCTTGTTTTAAAGTAGAGGGAATCAATATCTCAACGTACATTCCGGGGGCCATCTTGTTTACAAATCTGAACGTACAAACAAAATAAAAAACTCGTAAAGCTCTTATTCAAACACGTTCATTTTTGAAACAAATCATCTATACAATCAATTTTAGCGTTCAAATAGAGGAAAAAACTCACAACACTTTTATTAAAACATGTAAATTTTTTGACCCAGTGAGTTTTTGACCCAAATCTGATATTTACAAGTTATTTTTCTCTCAAATGGCAAACTTAACTCAGAGACAAGCGTACGTAACATGTGCGTACGTCATTTTCAATCTTGCCAGAACAAAAATCTGGCTGTGTCGGGGGAAAAAAATGCGATTCAAAATTCCCCCTGCACAGCCGATTATGTGAATGGGGCCTAAGTGAAACGCATAAGTAACTTTGAAGGACGTGAAACAAAAAAAGGCTGTGTATATTGGTTGTTTTTATGCTGTACAGTTTATTTTCTCCTTTTTTTGTATAGTTAACACTACACAGGTTTTGTGAGTTTATTTTCCCAGTGGTAGATGGTAGACCACTGTCCCGCCCAGTCCAGTCTAACATGGGGCGGGCCAACAGTACTATATTCCCTATAGCTCTAGAGGTGCATTGCACATAAAAAATAAGATAAAAACTTAGATAATCTGAGTGGTTTATTTTTCCGTTTCGTGCGTTTTTGTTATTCTAAATGACATGTTATCAGAAATGGACGTATCACAGTTGTTTTACTGATCTTTATGTACCACTGTAATTGCAGAAGTAAGAAAAAAAGCCTTGTTTATTGTTGAGATTTAAATTGCTTCTGATGTCAATAAACATTTTTTTTAATACGTGGGACTTCGGGCTGAAATTTGTAAATCACGTTTTTATTACAATGATCTTTTAGTTTTATTCCGTACTTTATGGACTATTAGGCACACCAGCATAATTTTTACAGGTAAGTCGATTTTGTCCACATATAAGCCGCACTGGAATATAAGCCTCAAGTTTTTCATATTGTAAAAAAAAAAAAAAAATCCCTTTTAATTGATTTGATGATGCAGTTTTTGTTTTAGTCCGTACTTTCTGGACTATTAGGTGCACCTGTATACAAGCCGCACCCACAAAATGTTACAAGTAAGTACATTTTGTCCACATATAAGCCACACTGGAATATAAGCCTCAAGTTTTTCATGTTGTAATGTAGCAGATACACAACTGTTTTAACTGATTACAACATGATTCAATGACAGCTTAACCGTCAGCTTCCATGACTCATTAACCAGTCTATTTTGATTTTTTGTTTGTCCCACAGTGGGGAAATTTCAGTGTTGCATCACAAGTTACAGAGCAGTAGGAATGAGGAGCACACAGCACACGATAACTGACAATAAACAATCTTCCTGCAGCTTCTAAAACTTTATGGAGTCACAATTAAAAGTCCATAAACTTTGCTCCGATAACTCCACCTCAATAAAATAACACATATTAGCCGCGTCACTATATAAGCCAATGGTGTAGGTTTGGTTCCAATCTTGGTGGGGACATTCACTACGACCTGAGTCTACACCCATTGACACGGGGTCCAGAGTTTCTCCCCCAGAATTTGTTGTGTAATCACACACTATATTTGCAATAGTGTGTTGCCTTCTATACTAAACTCAGCTGTAGATTGAATGAGAAGCAGTTATGTATGTTAACAGAAGATTAATCATCACAATTCATAATTTGCTATTACTTGTGCTTTCTCTTACTTACTTTCCAACTGTTAAAAAAGCTCCTGATATATTTTATCTTATTTGTGGAGGTGGCATTTTTTCTAAATTATATAAGAAGGTATAGAAAATCAAAAACAGACATTCATATACATGAACTGCAGAATCATTTATATAACTTGGCCAATGTCAAAAGTTACATAGTATTTCTCAATACAATGAGTTAACAAGAGTTTGGCAATAAGTAACAGTGTGGATTTTTCTATATTTTCTTTTTTTTATTCCACTCTCTACCCAAAAAGACAAGTAATGACTCACAGGGCTCTCAAGTATGCAAAATAAAAACTTAAATGACCTGTTGTGGTGTGTTTTGCGCACAACCAGCATGCATCGTTAACGCAATGGAAAATTTACGTATCCGAGCTTTAATTTCGGGAGCGCTGGTTGCGCTTTGGGAAGAGTCAGGGGAGAGACATGTCAGAGACACAGGGGAGAAACGGGGGAGATACGAGGGAGACCCGCACTTGCAACATGGTTCTGTCTGCATATGGTCCGAGCTCGGTACCATGTTAGAGCTGTGCTTTCACTGAGCGCCGCGGCTGTCATTACAAAGCGGCAGCAGCTGCACCAGGACGTGCACATTCGAGTGCATCGCTTGAATGTGCTTAGAGCAAATAACAGCAAGTGCCCGCTGTCACACATTTCACAGAAATCACATTATCAGCAGATAAAGGTTGTAAATCGTGGATCCGTGGAATATTTTCATCCCTAGTTTATCCTGATTCACACAACACACCCACTTATACATTTTGGATAGTAAGAGCACAATAAGTATTTTTTCAGCCTTTCAACCAACCTGTTTCTTTATTGGAGCCAGTTCTGTTCTGTCTCTGTGCCGTGTGAGCTCCTCGGAACATTAAACAGTGCGCTGACAGATTAGAAATAACGTAAGTACTTTGAATGGTAATAGATCTACAGTACTTTCCTCTGATTACTCACGTGCTACAACGCTCAGGGAACGAAAAAAAACACTTGCTTCACGCTGGCTAACTTTTAAAAATTAAACAGTCGCTCACTGCTTCAGTTTGGCGCTGAAGAAGACAGCCAATCACTGCAGAGAACGGAACGGGTCACGTGCTGCTGCTGCTGCTGCTGTTGCTCTGGAGGCGAGGAGGAGGCGCGACGTGTGCACAAACAGAAGACATGTGTCCCGGACCGTCCGGGTCACGGGACATCATGTCATTTTGGTGGGGACTTTTTAGTCCTCACCAAATATTGGTGGGGACATGTCCCCATGGTCCCCACGCAAACCTACGCCCTTGATATAAGCCGTGGCTAATAGTCGTGCCTTGAAAACCGGAAATTACAGTTAAGTTAGTTCAAATATCTTCTTAGTAATACAGATTTGAAAAGAGGTGAAACAACCTACTCTCATCCAGTTTTACAAAGAGACTGTAGAGAAAGTGCAGCTGAAGCTAATGCTAATCTCTGCGTCTGTCTCTGAGTTTTTTTCCAACATGCGAAAAATACAGAACTCATAAAAACACAATATTAAACTAATTTAGAGCCGTGAACGCTCCTTTTAGACGTTCTCGCCCTTAAATTCTCCAGAGCTTTTGCATAATTATAGTGTTTATAGTGTGTACAAAAAGGCACAACATAATGGGTTGTCTGTATAATCATGTTTTATGTCCGCCGTTTTAAATAATTCTCGCCGGTTCTTTCTCTGAAGTACAAGCACTGGGCAAATTTACACGCTATTATTACTGATGATATTCAATGATTTTTTGGCAAGTAATCTTTATTTGTATGGCGCTTTTCACGGACCGAACAGCTTGATGCAGGGACTGAGAGGTTCTGTTAAAATGCAGATGGGAAGTGATGCTAATGAGCACAGGTACAGGTGTGTAGCAGAGGGACTACTCAGTGTGGAGGTGTGACAGAGAGCACTGAGATTATCCCAGTCCCCCATTACTGTTCATTCATAGTTTTTTTTATGTCATTTGTAGATTTATATGCATTTGAGTTTTACAGAACCCATCTTTTAAAAGCTACAAATTGTTACTAATAAATACTAATAAAATACTTGGTGAATTCTTGTTGATTGACTTTTAGAAAAGACAAAAATATTCACCAAAAGTTGTAGCAGCGGCTCTACTCCGAGCTTTCAAACCGTTCGAACACAGGAAATGCAATAATAACAAACACATAGAAGCCTTCAGTGTCCATAGGGAGAAGGATGACCAATATCCATAAATATCTTAAATCAGTACTGTCCATAGACCTCCTGCATGGGAAAGAAACTAAAAACGAAACTTAAATTTCAATATTTTATTCAGTAAGATGTTGCTTGAAAATGACTGTATAAAAAACTGACACCAATCTCTCTGATACAGTATGTGTGAATGGGCCACTATAACCTTTTGAATGACTGGACTCGGTGTAGAATAATATAGACATGTAGAAAAATTGGAATTTTCACAATCGCATCATTATTTAACTCGAATTTCATTCTCACAGTAGCAAGCTTTTGTGTGTTTGTGCATTTGTGTTGCCTGCTAAAAGGACACACATTAGTCCTGAGTCAAAGATATGCAGAGAGCAACAGTTGTGGAGGCTCAGTCCCTTCAGCTGTTCACTCTGGATCCAAAGTTGGTTTAGTTCATACACAAAGCAACCCCCAAAATAAGAAAGGAAATCACAAAACGTTATTGCTTCCTAATATAAAAGTTCGTTATTGAAACATGGAGAGAGTTTATACTTGTTTGGGCAGTAAAGGCACTATACTTCAGGGTGTTTCAAACCCTTTAGTATCGAAACACAAACACAAGTCTCTCAAAGGCCTCGCACCAAATTACATCGGTGACATGTTAGTGCCACATGACCCTGATGAGTACAGGGACTGGCCTCCTGCTGGGACTCTGAGGAGCACAGGGACTGGCCTCCTGCTGGGACTCTGAGGAGCACAGGGACTGGCCTCCTGCTGGGACTCCGAGGAGCACAGGGACCGGCC